TTCCCCTTATGACAAGTTTGCAATGTGATTTTGTAGTTTATATTCAAGGGTTTCCTAAGAATTTTTAAGAATAGTTGAAGTCAGATGACTAATTTTAACCTGCAGATGTCTCCTCCAATATATAAAAAGGATAAGTTAGTAACTTCCTGTGTCTTCTGATTGAGCCAAAGCCAGTTTTTCTAAATATAAGCCAGGTTTTGCAAGCTCATGCAGCCTTGTGGATGAAATGGGCATCTCACTTGGGAGCTTAGGATCTGGAAGGTTAAAAGTGATGCCAAGGCTTGAAAATCCAAGTGTCAGAGGCCTCACCATGAAACAGTGATCAGCAGAGCACAGACCCCTTAGAGGGATCAGTGTCTCTTCATCTTCATCCTGTATTTATCTTCTTTCTTAACATCAATGCTTGACAAAGTGCCCAAAGTCCAGATACTTCGCCAGTTCTCCCTTTCCACCTCCTGTTTTCCTTTCATCTCTTCCTTGCATTACAAAAGAAAAAAGATTCTCACCTGTCTGGAATCACCACTATGAGGCATCAGTTCTCAGTGCTTTGGTCTCAAGATCCGTGTGTGTGTGTGTGTGTGTGTGTGTGTGTGTGTGAGACAGGGCCTCACTCTGTCACCCAGGCTGGAGTGCTTACTGCAGCCTCAACCTCCTAGGCTCAGGTGATTCAGCCATCTCAACCTCCCAAGTAGCTGGGACTACAGGCGCATGTCACAACACTCAGCTAGTTTCTGTATTTTTTGTAGAAATGGGGTTTCTCCATGTTGCCCCAGGCTGGGGCAACTTCTGGACTGTAACTCTCGAACTTCTGGACTCAAGTGAGCCTCCTGCCTCAGCCTCCTAAAGTGCTGGGATTACAGGAGCGAGCCACTGTGCTTAGCCTCAAGATCCTTTTACAGTCATAAATTATCAAGAACCAGAGTTCTTGTTTATGTGGGTCATATCTATCTGTATTTACTGAATTAGAAATTAAAACGGAAAACTTTTAAAACACAAAAATACGCAAGTATACATTTCATTGGCCAATACATCTATGCTATGGCATCATCATGTACCATATAGCCTCTGGAAAATTCTTTTGGAAAATTCCATCATACATTCCTGAGATAATGAGAATTAAAAGAGCAAGTAATACATTATTATTATTATGAAAATAGTTTTGACTCTGAGGACTACTGAAAGGGTCTCTGGAATCCCCAGAAGTCTCTTGACCACATTTTGAGAATGACTGCTGGGTGCATTGTCTTGGGGTTAAGAAATTTCCAAACTGTCACATAGACAGAAAATCCCAAATTTTGGTGGGGGGCGGTGGCTCACGCCTGTAATCCCAGCACTATGGGAGGCTGAGGCGGGCAGATCATCTGAGGTCAGGAGTTCAAGACCAGCCTGGCCAACATGGTGAAAACCTGTCTCCACTAAAAATACAAAAATTAGCCGGGCATGGTGATGCGTGCCTGTAATCCCAGCTACTTGGGAGACCAAGGCAGGAGAATCGCTTGAACCTGAGAGGCGGAGGTTGCAGTGAGCCGAGATTATGCCATTGCACTCCAGCCTGGGTGACAGAGCAAATCTCAGTCTCAAAAAAAAAGAAAAGAAAATTCCAAATTTTGTCCAGCAAAGAAAGGAGTTGCCCTTCCAATGAAGTTGCATTTATGTTTAAGAATCACTTATATTGTCTTGATCAGTTGCATCCTAATAGTGAGTATAATCAATTCAGAAGAAAATATTTTTGCAATTTCAAGGTATATGTATATTTTTGTTGCCAATAAGTTCCTATGGTTTAAGCAAAAACTTTCAAATGTGTGCCATTTCCACTTTCAAATGTGTACCATTAGTATGAAATTCTTGGGGGTGGTGGAAGAGTCATGGAGGAAAACTTCTTGCTGCTGGGGAACAGTCGTTTCACTGGGTGTTGGTGTCAAGATATTCAAGGTACCTCAAATTACATTCTTTGAAACTGTTTAAATTATGAAAAATTTAAGGATGCAAACTTCAAAATGTGTGAGAGGCCACATATATTTTTCAAAATTCTCTGGGAGGAATACAAGCACCAGATATAAAGACCCCGAGGCAGAGTATCCTTTTACAGATGTGGGTGTAATGGGTGTGAGAGAAATATTCCTCCTCAGCGCAGTAAATATTTTCTAATTCACTACACGAACTAGTAGCAGTGTCATGTCTCACTTGAGAGGAAGTGACCTACCGGGAGTTTTTGTTTCTTAGCACTTGAAATTTTCAAGAGAATTTAATTAAGCAATCCAGCTTAGGATTTTCCTCCAGTCTGAGGGAAGTATTCCTCATCTTGGAAAATTAAGATGCTGTGAGGTGTCTGTCAAATTCTCCGTATAATACAATGTTATTTTTGAAGAAATGAAAGGTTACCACCGAATCCTAGGACAGAGATACATGGGTTTGCTTTTCCCTGAGGGACCCCTGTGTAGTCAGGAAAACGCAGACACTGGCGACACCTTCCACCTGGATGGAAAATATCAAAAACCCACCAGCACTGATTTTCTTTTTTATGCACATTTAACCCCTCAGGAGAAGTACTAATATAAAAGGGATCAGATATGCATTTTTTCTACAGCTTCTCCCAGTCACAGCCCTCTGCCACATACTGGCCGCTTGACTACAGCCCAGGCACAGTCAAGGCCACGCAGGCATCCGGCCAGGAACAGCTTTTCTAGGCTGATGCCTGCTGTGCTTCCCTCAGCAGGTTTTTTTCCCTTTCATTCTTCAAATATTTGATTACTCTATTAGTGACAAGCTTTGAGTTTAAAAATATCTGATGGAAAATTTCTTACATATGTAGACAGAAGAAAACAAAATAAGTTTTTCTGCTAAGAAGCAAATGGTGGCATATTTTCAACAATTTTATGAAGATACTACTGTGTGCCAGATGATATTTTTGTGTGCCACAGATATAGAAGTTTCCAGATTCAACTAAATAGTATATACTGTATAGTTGTAGTTTTAAAAACCATTCAGGCCAAGTGTGGTGGCTCACACCTGTAATCCTAGCGTTTTGGGAGGCCAAGGCAGGCAGATTACCTGAGGTTGGGAGTTCAAGACCAGCCTGGACAACATAGTGAAACCCCGTCTCTACTAAAAATGCAAAATTAGCTGGGTGCGGTGGTGCACGCCTGTAATCCCAGCTACTCGGGAGGCCGAGGCAGGAGAATCACTTGAACTCAGGAGGTGGAGGTTGCAGTGAGCCGGGATTGTGCCATTGCACTCCAGCCTGGGTGACGACAGAGTGAGTCTCAATCTCAAAAAAAAAAAAAAAAAAAAAAAAAAAAAAAAAAAATTCAAATTTTAGGATTGTTTTAAACTTATAGAAAAAAACTGGGGATAATACAGTGATTTCCTATAAACCCCACCCCCACTTTCCCCTATTGTTAGCATTTTACATTAGTGTGGTGCATCTGCTACAATTGATGAACCAATACGGATACCTCATCATTAACTAAGGTCCATACTTTAGTGATATTTCCTTAGCTTTTTACCTCCTGTCCTTTTTCTGTCCCAGGATCTCATCCAGGACACCACATTGCACTTAGTCATCTATGTCTTATTAGGCTCCTCTTGGCTGTGACAATTTCTCAAACTTTCCTTGTTTTTAACGGCCTTGACAGGTTTTAGGTCTTACTGGTCAGGTGTTTTGTAGAATGTCCGACAATGTAGAACTGACTGGCATTTTTTTTATGATTAGCCTGGGGTTTTTTTTTGTCCTCGGGAGGAAGACCATAGAGGTGAAGTGACATTTTCATCACCTGTTACCAGAGTACATTCTGTCAACATGATATACCACTTGATCATCTGGCTCAGGTAGTTTGTCAGTTTCTCCACTCAAAAGTTTTCTTTCTTTTTTTTTTTTTTTTTGCTTTTTCCATAATGTACTTGTTGGAAGGAGTCACTGTATGCAGCCCATTAAGGAGTGGGGAGTTATGCTCCACCTCTTTGAGGGCAGAATATCCAATAAACTATTTGGAATTATTCTGCAAGAAGGTTTGTCTATTCTCTCCAGTTTATCTAATTATTTACCAATATCAGTAGGGACTCCTGGATATTTTTTTCTTCTTTGGGTTATAATCCAAAGCTACTTTATTTTCTTGCTCAAATTGTTCTAGCTTTGGCCATTGGGAACTCTTTGAGTTAGCTCCTGTGTCTCTTTGACATGCTGCATCATTGTCTCTCTCTCTCTCCGTGTGTGTGTGTGTGTGTGTGTGTGTGTGTGTGTTGTGTGTTGTGTTTGTTTTACATTTTACTCCAGACTCATATATTTCCTGCCCCAATCTGAGAATCAGCCATTTCTCCAAGAGCCCTGGTTCCATTTATTGGAGAATGGCATTAGAAAACAAGATCTGGGAAACTTGTCTTCCTATTTAAAATTAATAAATCAATTTTTAAAAGATGTCTTCAAGCCTCTGAAATGAGAATTTTTCATTTGGCACTAGTGTCTTCTCTTCGATTAGTTATAATGCCTTGCATTTATGTAATACATCCTTGTGAATTGACCAGTTTTTACTATTAAAAAATGATTCATTGCAACACATCTTCTGAGATTTTTAAGCTGTGGCTTTTATTTTGCTATTTCTGGTATTCTAAAATATGCATAGCATAGTGGCACTGTATGTACTGTGGGGGTAGGCAGCCTATCCTATCAAGTGAGCCTCAGAACCCACTTTCCTTAATATTGGGGCCAGCGATTTGCAGTAAAAGTCGAAATGATCCTGTTTTATTACCTAATGTCTCATTTATTCAGGATCTGAATAAATGAAAGCAGCTGCCTTTTGGGCCCGTGGCTGCCTTGCTCTTGGTGCCTTGGGTTTAATCCCAGGTTTGTTTCTCCGTAGCTAGCACACCTTTTAAATTAACTTTACCCTAATGCCCAAAAGCCACGAACCAAGAAATAACATAATGCAAAGACAACCATAGAATTGTGGTGAACAGCAGCCTGTTTCTGTGCTGCTGGTCTCATGAGTCTCCTTCCATTCCAGGCCTGACGGAGATGGCAGTCTTCAGTTGTGAGGCCCACAATGACAAAGGGCTGACCGTATCCAAGGGAGTGCAGATCAACATCAAAGGTAAGCAGCAAGACTAGGTTCCCCATGCATGTTCTGGGAGCTGGTGAGGACGCAGCATGAGCTTGCAGCCGGCTGCCTGGGTGTGGGTCCTGGCTTTCTCACTGATGTTCTTTGTGACCTTGGACAACTCACTTCTCCTCTTTGGTGTCAGTGTTGTCCTCTGAAAAGTGGAGATAATGACAGAACCTACCTGTTGTTGAGGCTTATTGATTGAATACAAGTAAAATTACTCGAAGTGCCTGGCATATAGGTCTTTGATAAACATTCACTCATTGAGCTCTGCTTACTCCAAGAAGAAAATAAACTACAATGTTTTCTCTTTCTTAGTTCCTGTTTTCACTTTTCTCTCTTCCACCCTGAACTACTCATTAACCCTTGAAGAGGCCTGGGGATGGGGCTGGCTTGGGGCATGATCTAGGAAATGGACCCTGTCCTTCCCAGGTCAGCAGGGCCAGACATGACTCAGGGAGACAGAGGAAAAGCAGGGAGCAGATCACTCTTTGGAGCCCAATGCTCCTATCCCTCTTCCTCCTAAACTCCGTCTTCCTCTTGGTTCCTCTGAGCTAGGATTTCACTAGGCTGAGCTTGCTTGGCAGTGAGTTATGATAATAGAATTAAAAGCATACATTTGAAGGCCTCCAGGCTAGTGGAGACATTTCAGTCCAATCTACCTTATTCTCCTTCTGTGTGATCAAAGGTATTAAACTTGAAATATGAAAGAAAAGAAAAACCTACAAGTAGATACTACCTTTTTATCTCGTATTAAATCATCCTCCTAGTGTGTCATAGAAATTCAAGCAAACTTTATGTTTTATTATTTGATCTTAGTTTAAATATTGAGAAGTAATTATTTGGCTCATGTTCCTTTCCTCTTGTCCTTAGGGAAGCAGTGCAAGGAAAAAGCAGAACTTGTTTAATAATGAATTAAAGGTTGGGTACATACAGAAGGAGGATTCAAAATTACAAAAGAAATTATGCTCAAAAAAGATGCTAATTTTAGTTTCAGCAAATCAACTGGACAAAGGCTATGAAAGGGAATATCCTAAAAGTTCACTGGGATAAAAAAATAACCAAACTAAAAGTTATTACTGGAGGAAGTGTATAACTTCCTTCCTTCATCACAATTCCCATTATTACGATTTCCAAAAGACATGTTGGGAATGTCAAAAATTCATGAGTGGGTGTGAGTTTATAAAGACTTTTTCATAAAGTATAAACTTCTTAAAATTTAAAAATATATAAAATGAAAAGCACTTCTTCAATTTTATGCTTCAGAATCTCTGCTAAGATTTTGTTCTATTAGATCATTCTCCAAACTTCTGTTTCTGGCTTTCTTTTACTGTAAAATTTATATCAAAGCTACCAAGACTCTCTTCTTCTAATGTATAATTACTATGGTATATGTGGTCAACTTTTGGTCTGGAAAGGCAGTTGCTTTAGGGCAGTTCCACAAATAATCTGCAGAGGAAAGTGAGTCAAACCTTACTCTTCCCCATTCCCAATGCTGTGCGTCTACTAGCAAAACCCAAACTCCTAAATGTGGCCCCCAGGGCACGCTTGATATGGTCTTAACACACCTTCCTCCTTCTCTCCTGCTCATTCCATCATCACCTTCATCCTCACCACACCACCCCCCCCGGGCCTCATCCACAGCTCCCTGCATTTATTCCTCACCACAGCTCCATGCAGCGGTGCTGTTACTCTCCCCATTTATAGAGGAGAGAACTGTGTGTAGTTGTAGACAGGGCGTGTAGCTGTGCCTGGGGCCATACAGCAGGACAGGGGGTAGACCAGACTTACAGTCCCTGCTGGTGTTCCCACCGTCTACTTGCTGCCCTTGGTAATAGGCCTCCAGTGTCCTGTTGAGGGACACAAGCTCCAGGGTCAGGCAGACCAGAGTTCAAGTCCCCGTTGTACGGCTTACAACCTCTCTGTGACCTTTGCCAAGTTTTTAACTTCTCTCATCCTGTTTCCTTATCTGTGAATGGGGCTTGTAAGACTAGCTCTCTAATAGGATTCTAGGAATGATAAAAGAAAGCCCTCAAAGTGTCTGGCACATAGTAAGCACACAAAATGTTAGCCTTCATTTTTAATTACGAGTGTAATTATTATTATGAATTAAATTCAGCACAAAGCAATAAGATTCCCCAAATTTAAGATCCTTCTTGGATTCTAATTGAAATAGCTACCCTTCACCCACCTGTAGCCAACGGTGTAGCACACCCTTTCCAGACACGCACCTCCTCCCCTCCCCCAGCAGATGCAGTTGGCTCTTTTGATTGAACCGACTCTTAGTGTTTTCTCAGCCTGGAAAGCTTCTCCCCCTACACATGCACACATACACATGCACACTTACACATGCACACTTACACATGCACACATACGCATGCACACATACGCATGCACACATACGTGTGCACTTATGCGTGCACACACCCTCCTGTGGCACCCCTCTCTTCTGATGACAGGGCGCTCCTATTCCTGGTTAACGTGGGTCGCCTATACCAGGCCATGTGCTCCATGAGGGCAGAGCTATGACTGTGTCTCTCTTAAGTGCACTAGTGCCCAGCCAGGTACACACAGTAGTCCATGAACATGTACTCCGTAAAGGACATGAGTATTCCACATCTTTTCCAGTTCAAAGTCCTCCTCATTTCATCAGTGGGTCTGCGTTCCACTTCTTTGGCCCTTCACTGGAACACTTATCCGCAGGCTGGTACAATTATCCTCAGGCATAGGGAGGCTCCTCTTGAAAACATAATTCCGTTTATTAATGCATTTGTTTGGTAGCTGTAGCCTCTCATTATCTTTAATTGTGTTTGTGTGTGTGTGTTTTGTTTTATGCAGCAATTCCCTCCCCACCAACTGAAGTCAGCATCCATAACAGCACTGCACACAGCATTCTGATCTCCTGGGTCCCTGGTTTTGATGGATACTCCCCGTTCAGGAATTGCAGCGTTCAGGTAAAGCTCCGTGGTGAAGGGGGAAGTAGCTGTTTGGCGCTCTCTGTGGGTCTAAGGATTTTTCTTCCTTCCAAGGATGGACACGGAGGGCATTTCTCCATCTCTGTACAGAGTCCCCTGACCTCCCTGCTTCAGTGTCCAGCATGCATGCACCATTCTATGTCCATGCTCTGCCCACGACACTGTGTCCTTCCTGTGAAGGTTTCAGGGCCCAACCGGAAGCAAAATGTGTTTCCAAGGGAGAACATCATGAGGCCAGGGAGAGTCCTTCTTCTTCTTTTTTTTTTTTTTTCTTAGACAAAGTTTTGTTCCTGTTGCCCAGGCTGGAGTACAATGGCGTGATCTTGGCTCGCCGCAACCTCCACTGGGTTCAAGCGATTCTCCTGCCTCAGCCTCCCGAGTAGCTGAGATTACAGACATGCGCCACCATGCCCGGATAATTTTGTATTTTTAGTAGAGATGGGGTTTTATCATGTTGGTCAAGCTGGTCTTGAACTCCCAGCCTCAGGTGATCCGCTCTCCTCGGCCTCCCAAAGTGCTGGGATTACAGACAGACATGAGCCACCGTGCCCAGTCAAGACCAGGAAGAGTTCATTTTTAAGGTCCCAAAACACATGCTTATGACCAGGAGTTGAGGAAGCCAGGCACTCCCCAGTGTGGCTCCTCCTGGGCTGGTGGCCATGAAGGACAGAAGGGCCAGCACAAGCTAGATCGTCTGTGCTATTGAGCGTAGCACCTTAGCCAGTGTCACCTGGGGATCCTGGGCATTACAGGCCTTGTGGAGTCTTCAGACATTTTTCCCTGCTGCCTAGAATGGGTATGAAACAGTGCTATTAGCTGTCCTAAAATGATACCTTGCCCATGATGTAAGCTCTGCTCTTGAGTGTTCACTTCATAAAAATGAGAATGGTGGCAGTAACACAACTGTTTACTAAGGGACCACAATGGCCCAGGGGCTTTGCAAACATTATCTTCTTAAAACACACCAGCACTGCAGGCTCAGAGTACTCACACAGCCTGTGAGTGGCAGAACCAGAACTCAAGCCCGGGAAGCTCCAATGCCTACAGCAGCGCTCAGAACCATCAGCTCTCCCGTCTCAGGAGAGACATGGCATTTGGGAGCAGGTTACCGAACATGCAGGAATTATCCACTAGAAGTATGAATGCCTGGTACTTATTCATACAGTAGGGTCAGGAATTAGTTTACTAAATATCCGGTCTCATTAGTTAAAAATATGTTAACTTGACACAGGCCAACTCAGCTCAAAGAATTTTGTGTTGACAACTAGATGTTTTTACTTGGTAGTCAAATTATTTTCTCTGTTCTTACCGCCTCCAACTCTTATCTAACAGCTGTTCCTTCCCTGAACAGGAAAAGCCTGTATTATCCCTAAAATAGCCTCCACCCTCACCCACCGCCTCCAGCCTTTCTTAATTCTTGCTCAGTTTTTTTTTTTGTAAGCCTCCCAAGCACTGGTAAGTGTTAGGAATTCTTATTGCATCTACAATTCCTCACCAGGAATGGCCTTTTTTGTGATTGATTTTTTTAACACCTTTTTTTGAGATATAGTTTACTTTTTTAAAAAAAAATTTGAGGGCGCGGTGGCTCAAGCCTGTAATCCCAGCACTTTGGGAGGCCGAGGCAGGTGGATCACGAGGTCAGGAGATCAAGACTATCCTGGCTAACATGGTGAAACCCCGTCTCTACTAAAAATACAAAAAACTAGCCGGGCGTGGTGGCGGGCGCCTGTAGTCCCAGCTACTTGGGAGGCTGAGGCGGGAGAATGGCGTGAACCCGGGAAGCGGAGCTTGCAGTGAACCGAGATCACGCCACTGCACTCCAGCCTGGGAGACACAGCGAGACTCCATCTCAAAAAAAAAAAAAAAATTTGAGACGTAGTCTCACTCTGTTGCCCAGGCTGGAGTGCAGTGGCACAATCTCGACTCACTGCAACCTCTGCCTCCTGGGTTCAAGCAATTCTCCTGCCTCACCCTCCCGAGTAGCTGGGACTACCGGCCAGTGCCACCACACCCACCTAATTTTTGTACATTTAGTAGAGATGGGGTTTCACCATGTTGACCAGGCTGGTCTTGAACTCCTGACCTCAAGTGATCCACCAGCCTCGGCCTCCCAAAGTGCTGGGATTACATGTGTGAGCCACCACGCCCAGCTGAGATATATTTTATATACCATAATATTCACCCCTTATTTAAAATGTACAATTTAACGGCGTTTAGTATATTCAAGAGTTGTACAGCCATTACCACTGTCTAATTGTGTCTGTATCTAATTTGTCTGTAGTTTTCTTGTGGTAGCTTTTTCTGGTTTTGGCATCAGTGTAATATTGACCTTCTAGAATAAGTGTGAAAGTCCTCCTCCTCCTCCTCCTCCTCCTCCTCCCCCTGCCCCTCCTCCACCTCCCCCTCCTCCTACCTTCCCCTCCTCTCCCCTCCTCCTCCTCCCTCCTCCTCCTCCTTCTTTTCTTGGAAGAGTTTGTGAAAGATTGATGTTAAATCTTCTTTAAATATTTAATAAAATTTGTTCTCTTTGTGGAAAGTTTTTTCAATACTAGCTCAATCTTTTTACTTGGTATACATCTATTCAGATTTTCTATTACTTCTTGAGTGAGCTTTGGTAGTTTCTATGTTATAGGAATTTGAACATTTCATCTTAGTTATCTAATTTATTGGTATGCAATATAGTACATAGTATTCCGTTATAACCTTTTTTATTCTTTGAGGTTAGTAATAAGATCTCCTGTTTCACTCCAGCTTTTAGTAATTTGTTTTCCCTCTTATTTTTCTTAGTCCAGCTAAAAGTTTGTCAATTTTATTGATCTTTTTGAATAACCAACTTTTGATTTTGTAAATTTTTTCTATTTTCTATTATCTGTTTGATTCATTTCTGCCTTAATTTTTGTTTCTTTTTTTTTCTATTTGGTTTAGTTTGCTCTTTTTCTAGTTTTGTAAGGTAGAGGTTAGGTTATTGATTGTGTTTTTTTATTTAAAAAAATAGGCATTTACACTCTACATTTCCCTGTAAGCACTGCGTTAGCTGCATCCCATAAGGTTTTGTTGTTGTTGTTGTTAATTTCAAGTTTTCTGTCATTTTCCTTGTGATTTTTTTTTTGTACTCTTGAGTATTTAGAAGTGTGTATTTAAATTGTCACATAATTATGAATTTCCCAAATTTTCTTCCTTTACTGATTTCTAGTGTTATTCTACTGTGTTTGCAGAATATACTTCATATGACTGTGATCCTTTTAAATTTCTTAAGGCTTGTTTTATGACCTAAGTTCTATCCTAGAGAAAGTTTTGTGTGCGCCTGAGAAGAATGTACATTCGGCTGTTGTTGGAGGAAGTGTTTTGTGCATGTTGTTCAGGTCTCGTTGGTTTAGAGTCTTCGGTCTTCTGTTGCCTTGCTGATATTCTGTCTCATGGTTCCATCTGTTATTGAAAGTGGGGAATTGAGATCTCAACTCTTATTTTGAATTGTCTATTTCTCCCTTCCATTCTATCAGTTTTTGCTTCATGTTATTTTGGGGCTCTGTTTTTAGAAATATCCAGGCCTCTTTCCCTAGAGGTAGACATTTATTTATTTGTTTGTTTGTTTGTTTGTTTGTTTGAGACAGAGTTTCGCTCTTGTTGCCCAGGCTGGAGTGCAATGACGCGATCTCGACTCACTGCCACCTCCACCTCCCGGGTTCAAGCAATTCTCCTGCCTCAGCCTCCTGAGTAGCTGGGACTACAGGCACCTGCCACCACGCCCGGCTATCTTTGTGTTTTTAGTGGAGATGTAGTTTCATCATGTTGGCCAGGCTGAGGTAGACATTTATATAACAGGGACATAACTGAAGCATGGGCCAGCCCTTTTTAAAACTGTTACCAAAGCGCTGAGCTGTTTGAAGAGCCTGAGAGGACATGAAACACGAGGATGGTGAGCTTCAGTGAGACTCTCAGGAAGAGTACCGCGCCACCTTGAGACAGCAGGTCTCAGGGTGACGTGAGGTGGGCAGGATGGTTGAAAAGTCTGAAAACACCAGGTCACCCCTGATGATGGAAGATGATCACACACAAGCTTTACCTGCTCTCTCTCTGCCATGGTTTTGGGTTTTCATGGTACAGATGAAAAAGCATCCTGAGACGGCCAAATTCCAGTCCTTTCTTGCCCATCTTGGATTCTGTGGTGCTGGATATGGTGATTCTGTTCTTGTCCCCCTTGGCTAGCTCAGCCTCCGTTCATCCTTTCTCTTTTCCATCTCTGGTAGGCTTTCCAGATTTGGCAAATAAGAATACGGAACACCCAGTTAAACTACACGAATAATCTCGTGACATACCTACCTATACTGAACAGTTACTTGTTGTTTCTTTGAAATTCAAGTTTAACTAGGTGTCCTTTATATTCTCTGGCAGTCCTACTGGGGTTAATCGGCACAAGCTCTAAAAGTTATCTTTTCTATTCTGTCATTAACAGTGTATTCCCATTTTTTGAAGGGACCAAGTATGGCTTTGTAAAATTATAATTTTAAACTCTGACTCGGGACCAAATGAATGTTTTGGATGAGATTCAGATCCATGCGCTAGCAGGACACACCCTCTCACTTCCTTTGGTCCTGATCTTAGCTCTTTTCTTCACCCATTTTTGGGCCACACACTCCATTTCTATTTTGAGCTCTCCCACGTACTTCTTGCCACTTCATGCGCTCTTTTCCCTGAGGACCCACTGACTGAGAAGGGCTATTATAGAAACCCTGTTTTCCTCTAGGAACGTGCTCTCAGAGAGCGTCCCTGTGCCTGGAAATGCTCCCCACGTGTCTCCGGAAGTGGGGCGGGGAGGAGAGCCAAAGGTTTCCTCCACCTTCGCTTTGGTGGTTGGTCACCAGGAAGTAGGTGCACACTCTAAAGTGAAACAAACAAAAAGTGATGTCTGCCAACAGCCACCACCAAGACAAGCGTCCGAGTTCTTGTTTCTCCTCTGGTGGCTCCTCAGGTCAAATGATACCTTCTTGTCTCCCATGGGGTCTGAGTCAGAGGAGAAACTCAGCCCCCACACCATATTCCTGCTATCCGCCAGGGGATTTGGAATTCCAGAATGTTTATTTCTGGTTCATTGACCTAAGATGCAAACACACATAGCCTGAAATTATAGTACTGTATATCCACAGCCCAGAACTGCAAGCCCGTTATTAACAGCAATACATTTTGTGGCCTGAGGATTTTTCCCAAATTGCTCTCAGTTGCTTGTTTTACCCGATATCATTTTGTCTGTTCTGATTTTATAAGTGCCACATATTACAGAAATTTTGAAAAAGCATGTAGTGGAAAACAAAATCCCATACTCTCCCTTATCCCCATACCCAGACAGGAGGTATGCAAGGAAAAAGATGGAAGTTTCACCCAGGACTAGATTTGTGCTGGGAATCGCCCTCTCTTGCCTATGCATACAGAGATTTGGAGAGGGATGTGGAGAGACTGGTGGAGTTATGGAGGGAAAGATAGGCAGTATGTTTAAAGGAGATTTGGAGAAAAGTTTTCTGGAGGAGGGGCAAATGACCCTTTCCTATATCTCCCCATCAAAGAAAAGAAAAAAAAGCCAAGAATCTACATTTCCTGTGTGTGCTTCTGGAACTGAATTTCTGTTGGGGTCGAAGGGGTTAAGAATAAAGGCCACACTAAAATTAGCCTCAGGATGGGTGCATTGGCTCATGCCTGTAATCCTAGCACTTTGGGAGGCCAAGGCAGGCAGATCCCTTAAATCAGGAGTTCAAGACCAGCCTGACCAACATGGTAAAACCCCGTCTCTACTTAAAAAAAAAAAAAGCCAGGCATGGTGGCAGGCACCTGTGATCCCAGCTACTCTGGAGGCTGAGGTGGGAGAATCACTTGAACCTGGGAGACGGAGGCTGCAGTGAGCTGAGATCGCACCATTGCACTCCAGCCTGGGCAACAGATTGAGACTCCATCTCAAGAAAAGTAATAATAATAACAATAAAATAAAATAAAGTTAGCCTCAAGGCAAGAGCAGCGTTCCTCAGGTTACACAATAAAAAGAAAGATTAAGAAACACTGGGCGTGGTGGCTCATGACTGTAATCCCAGCACTTTGGAAGGCCAAAGGCGGGTGGATCACCTGAGGTCAGCAGTTCAAGACCAGCCTGGCCAACATGGTGAAACCCTGTCTCTACTAAAAATACAAAATTAGCTGCGCGTGGTGGCACACTGCTATAATTCCAGCTACTCAGGAGGCTGAGGCAGGAGAATTGCTTGAATCCAGGAGGCGGAGGTTGCAGTGAGCTGACATCAGGCCACTGCACTCCCGCCTGGACAACGGGAGCAAAATTCTATCTCAAAAAAAAAAAAACAAAGAAAGAAAGAGGCCGGGCGCGGTGGCTCAAGCCTGTAATCCCAGCACTTTGGGAGGCCGAGACGGGTGGATCACGAGGTCAGGAGATCGAGACCATCCTGGCTAACACGGTGAAACCCCCTCTCTACTAAAAAATACAAAAAACTAGCCGGGCGAGGTGGCGGGCGCCTGTAGTCCCAGTTACTCGGGAGGCTGAGGCAGGAGAATGGCGTGAACCCGGGAGGCGGAGCTTGCAGTGAGCTGAGATCCGGCCACTGCACTCCAGCCTGGGCGACAGAGCGAGACTCCGTCTCAAAAAAAAAAGAAAGAAAGAAACCCATCCTCTAAAAGCAGAATTTGGGAAATATTTCCTTTAAAAGGCAAAATATTAAATATTTCAGGGTTTGTCAGCACATATTATATCTGTTATCTCTGTTGCATATTCCATGAAGCAGCTGAAAGAAGTCAAGAATCGAAGAAGTTCTAAGAGAGGAGAGGTTTTATTTTATAGTATAATATGAATTCTAATCATCATAATTATTTGCTCCATTACCTGCCACAGTGAGAACTGTTTATTGTTATTTTAGGTGTTTTCCTCAGGTGTTCAGTTATTGTCCGAGTGGCATGAGTAACACACAGTGATGCTGGCGGGAAAATGTGTGTGTGCCCAGAAAGGAAGCAGGTCCTTCCCCTCAGCATAGAGGAAGGGCCACGTGCACCAAATACACGTATGCCCCGTGCCTGACATTCCCACCTCCTTACTAACGGCCCGTCCTCGTGTTTACTCTTCGTTTAGGTCAAGGAAGTTGATCCACTGAGTAATGGCTCAGTCATGATTTTTAACACCTCTGCCTCACCACATATGTATCAAATCAAGCAGCTGCAAGCCCTGGCTAATTACAGCATTGGCGTTTCCTGCATGAATGAAATAGGCTGGTCGGCAGTGAGCCCTTGGATTCTAGCCAGCACGACTGAAGGAGGTAATTCCTGGGGTTCAGAATGTATATTGCCCCCAATGGCATGTGATTCAACAAACCCTTCCCAGTGCCCTGACTGAGAGTTGAAACTTTGCTTTGTTTGGACTTTGTCTCTGGAGGAGAAAATTATTGAGGAGACTGATGAAAATGGGAAAGATATTTCCTCCATACTTTAAAAGCATTTAGTGACAAAACTTAGCCGTGTTATGTATAGGTAATCTTTTCTTGTACATAGAAGAAGATAATAGCAGCACACTTTAAAACATGCTGTCTCACAACACATCAATCAATACATGTTACCAACACAATAGTCAATACAGAAGCCTTTGGTGACCCCAACATATGTGAGGATTTCTCTCCACCAGCAAGCAGTCAGCTCTGCAGCGGAGACCAGCTGAGTGTCCTCCAATTTCAGTCTGACACTACATGGAGATAGCTTCAGATCCCACACGTTGAGGGCTGGATCCCCAGGCCTCCCCTCCCTCCCGTCCCCGACCCCAGCCTTTAGATGCCAATCACAAATCTTGACCTCTGGAACTTCTGACTGACCAAGTGTTTCCCATGACCTCAGCTTTGTGTCCAATTAATTTGCTGGAACGGTTCACAGACCTCAGGGAAGTACTTACATTTACCAGTTTATCATAAAGGATATTACAAAGGATACAAATGAAGAGATGTGGAGGATGAGGTATAGAGGGAAAGGGCATGGAGCTTCCATGTCCTCCCTGGGCGCACCACCCTCCAGGAACCTCCACGTGTTCAGTTATCTGGAAGCTCTCTGAACCCTGCTGTCTTGGTTTTTTGGTGAAAGTTTCATGATGTCAGCATTCCTTCCTCCAGGTTATGGGTCAGGACCCCCTTTGTAATAAGGGTCTTGTGACCCACAGTCAGAAAGATGGGGAGGATTAGAGTCCTGCATAGAGGCACGTGAAAGGAGGGCAGGAAGAACTCAGAGAGATTGTTTCCTGAGGCCTGCCCCTGAGGCGTAAAGCCCCCAACATCACAGCAAAAGATTGTAACCAGGGCTATGGGAGTTGTAAGCCAGAGACCATGACAAAAACCTGTGTGTGTGTGCGTGTGTGTAGGTTATTATATATGTGTACATATACACACATATATACATATAAAATAACCCACAAGTCCATTAAAATGTAATGGAATCATTCAAATGGATAGGTTTAATTGCATCATATTTTCTATTTGTTCTATCTGTAATTTGTTCTCCTTTTCTTCTTTTTCTTCATTTAAAAATATTTTTATATTTTTAATACTAATATTTTTATGATTCTTTTTTTTATTCTTTGTTTGGCTTATTAGCCATAGCTTTTTTTCTGTTCTTTTAATGGTTGCTTTAGGATTCACAGTATACATATTTAACTTATCACAGTGTACCTTCGATTTATACCACTTCATATATATTCCATTTTCTCCTTCAGATGTTTTTGGCCGTTGTCAAAGAGTTTACTTTAATGTGTCTTAAAAACCATTGCTACACTGTTGTTATTTTTGTTCAGTCAATAATCTTTTATAGAGAGATTTACATAACCAGGAAAAACACATGTTTATGCCTATAGTTACCATTTCTAGCGGTCTTCCTTTTTTGGTCTTTATATTTTATCTGGCATCATTCTCCTTCTTCCTGAAGAACTTTTTAAAAAATCATTTCTTGTAGTGTGTATCTGCTGGTGTGGTATTCAGCTCCTGTAGTCTGGGGAAAAATATTTATTTTACCTTTGAAGTGTTCTTATTTTTAGCCTTCATTTTTGAAAAGTATTTTTATGAGGTAGAGAACTGTAGGTTCACAGTTTTAGTTTAGTTTTTGTTTTTGTTTTTGTTTTTTACTTTCCGTACATTAAAAGAAGTTGCTCCACTATCTTCTTGCTTGCATTGTTTCCCCACAAGAAATCTGTGGTCATCCTAACTTTGTTCCTTGTATGTAATGTGTCTTTTGTCCCTATTTTCACCCTCATCACTGATTTTGAGCAATTTAATTGTGACATACTTTGGTGTAATTTTATTTATATTCCTTGTGTTTGGAGTTCATTGAACTTCTGGGGTCTCTGTATTTGTTGTTTACATCAAATTTGGAAAAAGTTTGGCCATTACTTCTTTACATTTTTTTCCGTTTCCACCTATCCTCTTTTGTAAGGACTACAGTTACATATATATTAGATCATTTGAAGTTGTCCCATAACTCACTGATGATCTATTATTGCTTTCCCCTTCTTTTCTGTCTGATTTTATTTTGGATAGTTTCTATTGCTATATCTTCAATTTCACTCATCTTTTTTGGTGCAGTATCTAATCTGACATTAGTCCTATCCAGTTTATACTTCATCTCATACACTGTAATTTTTATCTCTTTTTTGCATTTTTCCGTCTCTAACTTTTGGACCATCCAGAATGCACTTATAATTACTTTTCTTTTCTTTTTTCTTTCTTTCTTATCTTCCTTTTTTGAGACAGAGTCTCATTCAGTCACACAGGCTGGAGTGCAGTGCCAATCAGCTCACTGCAGTCTTGAACTGCTGGCTTAAGCAATTCTCCCACCTTCGCCTTCACCTTCTGCGTAGCTGGTACTACAGGCGCATGCCACCAGACCCAACTAATTTTTGTTTTTGTTTTTGTGTGTGTGTGTGTGTGTTTTGGGTATTTTTTGTTTTTTGTTGTTTTTGTTGTTGTTGTTGTTGTTTGTTTCTTTGTTTGTTTTGAGACGGAGTTTCACTCTTGTTGCCCAGGCTGGAGTGCAATGGTGCAATCTCGGCTCATCGCAACATCTGCCTCCCGGGTTCAAGCAATTCTCATGCCTCACCCTCCCGAGTAGCTGGGATTACAGGCATGCACCAGCACGCCCAGCTAATTTTGTATTTTTAGTAGAGATGGGGTTTTCTCCATGTTAGTCAGGCTGGTCTTGAACTCCTGACCTCAGGTGATCCGCCTGCCTTGGCCTCCCAAAGTGCTGGGATTACAGGCATGAGCCACCATACCTGGCGTGTTTTGTGTTTGTTTGCTTGTAGAAACAGGGTCTCACTATTTTGCCCAGGCTGCTCTCAAACTCCTCACCTCAAATGATCTTCCCACCTCAGCCTCCCAAAATGTGAGGATTATAGGCATGAGCCACCGTGCCCAGCCTTTTCATAACTGTTTCAATGTCTTTGTTTGCTGTCCTAACATGTATGTTATGTGTGGGTGGTTTCAACTGATTCATCTATGTTTCCACTGTAGGTGGTATTTTTCAGGTTCGTTGCATGCCTGATAATCTTTGACTGGATTACAGACATTGAGAATTTTACAATGTTAGATGCTAGATATTCTTGTATTTCTATAAGTAGTGAGCTTTGTTTTGAGACACAGCTAAGCTAGTGGGAAACAGTTTAATCCTGTAGGGTCTTGCTTTTAAGATTTATTAGGCAGAACCCGAGGAGGGCTCAGTCTCAGGTCAGTTATTACCCACTGCTGACACAAGACCATTCTGTATGCCCTACTCAGTTATTACCCACTGCTGACACAAGACCATTCTGTATGCCCTACTCAGCGCTTCTTGAATCATTAGATTTTCAGTCTGATTGATAGGAACAGGCACTATTGCCTTGCCCCATGCGAGGCCTGGATACCATTACCTTTAATTGTTTCATGTGGTTCTTTTTCTGTTTTCCTTTAGAGGCATCCTCAGGATTCTGGTGCCTTCTCCTGGGTATTTGCCTTTCTTAGTTTATGCCCTCGTTTTCATGGAGCCCATTCTCAATTAGCTTCCACAGAATGTATACATAAAAAGTAAAGATTGTGGGAACTTGCATGTCCTTATGTAATACTGGCTTAGTAATTTTTTCAAATATAGAATTTTAGTTTGAAATTATTTTCCCTCAGAAGTTTAAAGGTGTTTTCGTATCATTTTTTAGCTTCATGGGTGGCTGTGGAAAATTCTGATACTTAAGTTTTCTATGTGAACTGTTTTTCAGTTTTAGTTTTTAAAATATCTTTTTCATCCTGGTTCTGTGATAAGCTGTGATGTACAATTTGTTTTGGTCATTATCAAGGGCATTCAGTGGCCCCTTTGATCTGGAAATCTGGAAAGTCCTTTGGTCCTTAAACTTTTGTTTTTCCTTTGGAAATGTTCCAATCTCTGTTTTTTCCAGAAATTGTGTTAGACAATTGTTAATTAGACCTCTTTGATTGCTTCCTCAATTTTCTTTTTTCAAATTGGCCTATTTTCTTTGCCCTTTTATTCTACCTTCTTGGAGAGGTACTTGATTTGTCTTCCAATTCTTCTGTTAAATATTTTATTTTACTTATCATGTTGCTAATTTCAAGTTTTTTTCATTGAAAATTGTTTTCTGGTTCTCAATCATGAGAGTCTTTTCTGGATATCTCAATTCTTTTTTGTTTGTTTGTGTTTAGTTTTCTCTAGTTCCCTACACCGGCTTTGTCTCCTCTAAGCCCTCTGTTCTGTGTGGTTTTTTTGGTCCCTAACATTCAGTCGGGGGGCTTCCCCAGACCTCTGCTAATTTCTGCTGTCTGTTCCTATGGAAGAGTGAAGAGTCCTTGATTTGACTGGAACTTGGGCAGAGCTTGTAGGCTTCACTATCAGATGCCTTAAGTGTTTTGATCCAGATACTCCCAAGTGTCAAAATTGGTTTCTTTCCTCTGTAGCCGCTGACTTCCTCTAGAAAAGAAGTCTCCTGCCCCAGGAATTAAACGTGGCTGCTGATATTCTAGTAGCCAGGTGGGTGGGAAGGGAAGGTAGAGTCCTTGCCATTTAGTGTGTAAACTTTCACTTATTTTCCCAGGTTTCAACCTGGCTCCTTATCATGCCTCCATTCTACAGGTGCTCTAAGTTTAGTGGCTTTCTGCTTCAGAGAAGAAACCACCCTGTGTCCTATGGCTATTTGAGGGCATACTTGCCAGGTGTGTAGGCATGGAGAAGACGGACTTTGAGAAGCAACTATTTCTTAATCAGACTTCCAATCACTCTTTCCAGTTTTCGTCCCTGTTTTACTACCTGGGCCCACAGCTTCTGAGCTGCTCTGTGGTTCTTTGGGGGAACATTGGCTTGCTGAGTTAATGATACCTTCTTCATCTCTTTTTCAGCTTTCAAATATGTGTTGAAATCTCTCTTCTACTGTTGACTCCCCTTTGCCTTGTGAGTTTATATCTTTTTAAATTCTTTATTGCCATCATAGAGGGGTTTTGGGAGGAGGCAGACTTACAGACGTGTTGTGTTGGCCATATTTATCCACAAATTCTACAACAGGTTTGAAAGTGTGTGACTGATTTCATAGGCAGCTTCAGTTGTGTGGCATTTTCTAAGCTGAAATTCATTTTAACTTCATGATGACTGTTTCTGGGATCAGCAGAGAAAAAGAGGGTTATAGTATCCTTTCACACATATCTGAAATATATAATTTAACCTCCCCTCATTCAACTACATGCAACAGTTTGGTGTATATTATTCCAATTGTTATTATTCTTTCTAGATATAGAAGATTTATTTTTTTTAATTTCTAAAATGGATCTATATACTTTTCACAATCTGATTTTTTTCCCCCATTGGATTTTTTTTTCATATCAATACATGTGATATACCTAATTCTTTCCAGTGGCCAGGTAATTAAGTATTCCATTGGAAAATGTATCAAAATTTATATTATTATTATTATTGTTACTTGAGACAGAGTCTCACTCTGTTGCCCAGACTGGAGTGCAGTGGCATGATCTCGGCTCACTGCAACCTCCGCCTACCAGGTTATATCGTAATTATTGACCGAGCATTGCATTTATTTCTATTTGTCATTATTATGCTGCAATAAATATAATATCACCTATAGATTAAATTCCTAGAAATGGTAAAATATTTGGTCAGAGAGCATATTATTTTCAATTTTAATAGATATAGTTAAGTTCTTCTCTCCGAAAAAAGACTGTAGTAATGATCTTAACTTGTTTCCCAAATTATTTTATACACGTACACACATGCGCACACACACACACACACACACACACGCACGCACTTTTTAAATGTGTTGACAGATTAGCTCTGTTCAGATCATCAGTAACTTGCCTCTGGACTTTAAAATGGTGGCTGCATTCTGAGCTCAGCAGTGTTTCCTACCTTGTGCATCTCAGATGCCACCAAGCTGATCTCCAACTGGCCGTGTTGACTTTCTGCCCCACAGGTTTGTCGTGGAGAACATTGTTCAAGTTGTGTCTGCTTCACTTCCCCAGGAGTCCAGAGCACCACCCACCCTTCCTTCCCGGCCTTCCTCTTCTTTGCTGTTTTACTGTAGGTGCTCATGAAATTTCCTTTTTTTTTTTTCTTTGGAGATGGGGTCTTGCCCTGTCACCCAGGCTAGAGTGCAGTGGTGCAATCACAGCTCACTGCAGCCTTGACTTTCCAGGGTCAAGTGATCTTTCCTCAGCCTCCCAAGTAGCTGGGACTACAGCCCTGTGCTATCATACCCAGCTAATTTTTTTATTTTTAGTGGCAATGTTGCCCAGGCTGGTCTCAAACTCCTGACCTCAAGCAATCCTCTCCCTCTGGCCTCCCAAAGTGCTGGGATTATAGGCATGAGCCACCATACCTGGCCAACGTTTTCTGATTTTCTTTCTCTTTCTCTTGTTTTCTCTTTCTCTTTCTTTCCTTCTTTTCTTCCTTGCTTGCTTTTTCTGCCCAGACTGAAGTGCAGTGGCATGATCCCGTCTAACTGTAGCCTCAACCTCCTGGGCTCAAGGAATCCTCCTGCCTCTATCTCCGGAGGGACTGGGACTACAGATGTGCACCAAGCAGTCAGCTAATTTTTTAGTTTTTTGTTTCGTTTTGTAGAGAGGGTCTCGCTCTGTTCTGGCTGACATTTTCTACTTAAGAAATGGATTTCTAGGCTTCAGTAACCTAAAAGGGCTCACTGATTTAAAACTCATTGATTTCTCAGTGAAAACCTTAGTTGAGAAGGTGAAAATGTGCTATAAGTCTTGGTCTCATTTGAGTGCTTTTCACAGAGCATTTGAAAAACAAACACTTGAAAACCCAGATGAGAATGCATCTGTGTGTGCTTTGTGGTTCTTCATTCTTCTCTCCTTTTTCTTTTGCAGCCCCATCAGTAGCACCTTTAAACGTCACTGTGTTTCTGAATGAATCTAGAGATAATGTGGACATCAGATGGATGAAGCCTCTGACCAAGCGGCAGGCTGGAGAACTGGTGGGCTACCGGATATCCCATGTGTGGCAGAGTGCAGGGATTTCCGTAAGTCTAAACCCTAGAAGAGCACGATTGATCATCTTTCAACTTGCTGGTTTCCTTCAGTTTTAGAAGCTTTCATTTGGTTTTGAAGAGACCTGGTGTGATTGAGTTAGGCAAGGCACCTTTCAGGGGAACAGAATATAGTAAATATTAGAGGTGACTGAACAGTTACAAAATTCTAAGGAGTCTTTTGGAACTTTCCTCACTCATTCATTCATTCACTTATTCATGAGATAGATATAGATTTCATCCTCTGTTATCACCTGACTTTTGCCCTCATGGAATTTAGGCTCTTATAGGAAGACAATGTGGACTACCCAAATTGTAGCATTAGGTCAGGGAGCTACAGGGCTTAGCAGTCCAGCAATTCATGGTCTTTTGGAAATTTCATGGGACTTTGCAAAAGAAGATGATCCGGGAATAACCTCATCCTCATAGAGAATGACAGGAGGTAAGCAGACACCAAAGGAGGGGACTAAGCAAGCTCACTGGCCAGCCTGGCACAGCTGCAGACAAGCCGAAATTAGACATGAGACTTACTGGATCAGGACATGCAGTCTGACACTGCGTAGCATCAGCCAGATGGCACAGGTTCCCTGCCCCACCAAGTCCCATTGGGCAATGTGATGTATCCACTTGGTGGATTGTGCACCTGAGGGTACCAGGGTCAAGGGCTCAGCACCCTGTGTAGTGAGCAGCAAACAAGCTGATCCTCTGTGCAGTTGCACAGTCGTCATGCTGTGGCCACCTTGACCTACTTCATTGCCCATGTGACCGGCCCCAGCATGGCTCAGGGCTGGGGATGGTTAGGCCTTGCACTTTGTCACGCTCAGCAAGGATGAACAAAGATGCTTGGAGCCTGTGGCAGACTGCCTGTCCCAGAAAAGGTGGTACTTGAATTGGACTTATGTGTCAGTCAAAGTTCTTTAAAGAAACAGCTAATCGAACACGTATGTATAGAAGGAGATTTATGATGAGAAATTGACTCATGCAGTTACGGAGACTGAGACTTCTCACGATCTGCCGTCTGGAAGCTAGAGACCTGGGAGCCAGTGATGTAATTCAGTCCGAGTCTGAAGGCCTGAGAACAGGGGCAGTGGTGTAGATCTCAGTCCAAGGATAGGAGAATACTGATGTCTCAGCTTAAGCATTCAGGCAGAAGAAAAGGGGAGAATTCCTCCTTTCTTTACCTTTTGTTCTTTCTAGGCCCTCAGTGGATTGGATGAGGCCCAGCCACACTGGAGAGGGCAGTCTGTATTAGTGAGTCCCCCATTTCAAATAATAATCTCACTGGAAACACCTTCACAGACACACCCAGAAATCATGTTCAGCCACATAGCTGGGCACCTCTGTCACCCAGTCAAGTTGACACATAATATTAACCATCACAGCTTAGAGTAATCTTGGCAGATGAAGTTTGAGGAGTCTCAGATGGGAAAAGATAACATGAGAGAAGGCACAATATGGCAGCTGGAAGTTCTGACTCACTTGAAGGTCTGGAACATAACCCTTTTGTGAGAGCGAGGTGTGAGATGAAACTGGATTGAGGAGTTCTGACCCTAAAATGCAGGGCCCTGAAAGTGAGGCCAAGGCAGGTAGAAATTGGTTGATAGCAAGGGAGCCAATGATAAGCATGAACTCAGGAGCACAACTTGAGACTTACAGATCATGATGATGACCTAGATGATTCTTCTTTTATGGATAATTACATTGAGTTTGCTGATATGAGTAACCTTGTGTGTGCTTGGAACTGGGTAGGGGTATGGTGGGGGAGCATCAATATGTCAGGTAATTCCTGCCTTATAATCAATCTAAAGCTGGCAAGATCCTTTAGATTTTTGCTAAAGCTGGCAAGTTCAGTGAAGACTGTCTAGTATAAGCACTGGTTTCATTTCACAGTGGCAAACAAAAGGCAAAGGGAATCTACCTGTGAAATAGTGGCTCCCTCCCTACGTACCAGCCAGTGCCCTTCCAACGACTTTGTTAGGCATGACTCCAGTCAAACCCAGAGGGACATTCGATTTTGATTTCTATGAAGTCTAAAGACCACTGCTATGATGTGAACCCTGGACCCACTACAGCAGCAGGAAAGGCAGCTAGATGATGCTGCCTGGGTGTGGTTAGGTGGGCAGCTTCTAGACAGGTTCCCTTCCCACCTGGGAAAGGAAGAGAGTAGGGTAATACTGCCTCCTTTTGTGACACAGAACATCCATGGAAGGGCAGATGCACTGGTTTCATTATCAAGTCTGTCTCTTCTTTACTGTGATCATGGAAAGCATGCTTCTTCTGTGTTGCCGTATTCCTGATCAATCTAACCCTGGTAACAAATTGCATTAGTCTGTACTCACACTGCTAATAAAGACATACCTGAGACTAGGTAATTCTAAAGAAAAATAAGTTTAATGCACTCACAGTTCCATATGGCTGGGGAATCCTCACAATCATGGCAGGAGGCAGAGAAGGAGCAAAGGCACTTCTTACATGGTGGCAGGCAAGAGAGCGTGTGCAGGGGAACTCCCCTTTTTAAAACCATAGGATCTCACAAGACATTCACTATCAAGAGAACAGCACAGGAAAACCCTGCCCCCAAGACTCAATTACCTCCCACCAGGACCCTCCCATGACAAGTAAAAATGAGGTTTGGGTGGGGACACAGCCAAACCATATCATAGATCCAAATTTTAGCTTCTTCATGACATCTATATGGAGCATCTGTATGTCATCACATACAGATGCTCCATATAGAGATGAACAGGGTGAGTGGGTGAGCAGATGCACCCACCAATGATGCTCAAGCTTCGTTTTAATCATTTTAAGCCACATATCATACAGCATTTATCAAAACTGCCATTTTCTGAAAGGACACTTAAAATTTATTTTGAGTTCCCTGCCTCAGTTTACCTATCAGGAAGCAGACTGTTGGACGCAATAGGTGATGGAAGTAGAGAAAAAGAAGGCTTAGAAGTCCATGTCGTTCTGCCTCATAGTAAATGATCATGGTATTAATTAATTTTAAATAGCAATCCCGCTTAAAAGTCACAGCTGCGAGAGAAGCAGCCTTTCCTTTCGTCTTTTGTCCCCAGGCATTTGTGCGAGGTGCCTCTGGATTAACTGCATCTCTCCATTGGCTGAGTTGCAGGAATCAAATGCCTCTTTGAGAGAAAGGCTTTTGTTCACAATGCTGAATGCTTGGTAGAGCTGTACTAAACATAAAGGTTCAGCAGGAATTTTTATCTTTCTCTATTTGGCAGAAAGTCGTGATTACCAGCAGACACTTAGGCTGTCTAAAACAAGCCAGTTTGTTTAAAGAGCTGCAGGTCATCCTTTCTCCTTCTACTTCTGGCATGGGTGAAAGCTACTTTTCTGAAGGCGGCCTCTTGAGCTGAGGCGTTCTGAAGGGCAGCAATGATGAAAACCTCATGAATGACTGTGGCTGGAGAGCCTTGTGCACTAAATGCCATTAGCGCTCAGCTAGGCTGTGCGTTCTCATTGCCCTTTGTTCAGAACGGTCCCCTCTGCAGGGAGAACAGAACTGCCACAGTTAGGGCCGTGACCTTTCCAGTCACTTACCTCCTTGGGGATGCCAGATCATGCCAGTGAGATCATTTATTGGGCTTTGCACTGTACTTTATGCATCATGACAGTCTTGTGACAACAAAGACCCAGTGGCTCACTTGACTTTGGAAAACATTCTCTGATGCAGCCAAGTGTCAAGCTTATGATCCAAAACTGGGGGCAAATAAGAACAGAGAAGAAAGGCGGACCCTGGGAGTGCCCTGAAATCCACACCCAAAAGGAAGTTTGAGATGATCTTGGCATCTGTCACTTTGATTTCCTTGAATTTCCTTCATCTCAGAAGGGCAAAGCTTAGACAAAACCTTGTCTCAAAATTATCCTTTCATTTTCATTTTTAGATAACTGACACTAAAGCTACTTCCTTATGCAGGACAGAGCAGTTGGATACTTTTTAAAGATATTTCTCACTTATAACTGTAATTAAGGGTGAGGTTTTTCATATGCATGCAATTTCAGAACTTTCTTGGCAGTCATTTTTGCTTGGCTTGTTGCAGTTACACTGCAGACAGGTCTGTAGCTTTCGTTCCCACAATGGTCATGTCACTTTCAGACTAAGAATCCTTTGATCTTTACTGTATGGATATTTATTATATCTCAATGATGATACCTACTTTTTTTGTTCTATTTTTCTTGCAATTACTTGCCTTCCAAATCAGAGCTTAAAATCCAAAGATAAGGAGCAAATACAATGTGTTCTCTTTGAAGTTGGAGGCAGGTCTTTCTCGTCTTTGTACTGTCTGAACACAGGGCCTTGACCTTGCTTTGTAGGCACTTATGGCATTATGGATTTGATCTGTAGGCCCAGCTACACCATCTAAACCAGCTGGAGAATTTCTCTCTGTGAAGGGGACAGTCTTTTATTAAGTTGGACTAGTATTTCCCACCCCACCCTCATTCCCATAAAGTGTCTGTGCGTGAAAAAAGAGTTCAGTGAGCAAATAGAGTTATAAAATATTGCATATTATACCACCTTGAAGGCCCAACATGTATACTGGCAAGTTCAAGGCTCTTTGAAGTTCAACAGAAAATAAATCTGTTTAACTTTGACCCAGAATCGCCTAAACGTTAGGCAGAGACACATTTTTATATGTGCAATTTTTATGGAGCTCATTGCTTTGGGTTTATTGCTCCAATGCTAGTTTACTCTTCGTTTTCAAAGGGTATAGATCTTAGAAGGAATCTCATAGCAGAGATTCTTATAGCCTTGAGACAGCATGATATGTAGAACCAAATTTTTTTTTTTTTTTTTGAGACAGAGTCTCACTCTGTCGTTCAGGCTGGAGTGCAGTGGCACAATCTTGGCTCACTGCAACATCTGCCTCCCGGAAAACCAACTTCTTTAAAGACTCAGGGAAGCTGCAGTGTACTTGGCCCAAGACCTTGGCCTCCTAACAAGTTCCCCTAATGAGCTGAGCTGTGTGCCTGGATGTTGGCATGTGCCCACCACCTCTTCCTTTCTCCTTTTCTCCCTCTTTCTCACTGTCAAAGGAGAGCAGAGCATTTGAACTGGCGTTATCTTAAAGTATGAGGAATAGGCAAGGTTCTCATGGCCAACCAGGGATCTGAACCACTTCTGAAACCCAGGGATTGATCAAATAGGGTACATTTTGCCTGGAGGAGAAACCTACCATGGAGGTAAACTCCATGAATGGGTCAAATAAGCTTCTTGGTTTGGGGAACTAGACAGCCTTGATGATTTTCTCTAATGCACCAAGACTTGAAAGATACCATAAAGTCAATTCTGTAAGGTTTTGTATTTATTTATAGAGAAAGAAGACCCAACTGTAGCACCACCTTGAACATGATCTAAGGATAATCATAGCCACCACTGATTACTTGCAGATTGCCAGATCATGTACTTATGTGTTTTACATAAAGGAACTCATTAAACCCTTAACAGTGAGACCGGGCGCAGTGGCTCACGCCTATAATCTCAGCACTTTGGAAGGCCAAGGCAGGTGGATCACCTGAGGTTAGGAGTTTGAGACCAGTCTGACCAATGTGGCGAAACCCCATCTCTACCAAAAATACAAAAATTAGCCGGGCATGGTGGCGGGCACCTGTAGTCCCAGTTACTTGGGCGGCTGAGGCAGGAGAATCGCTTGAACCCGGGAGGTGGAGGTTGCAGTGAGCTGAGATAGCGCCACTGCACTCCAACCTGGGTGACAGAGCAAGACTCCATCTCAAAAAGAAAAAAAGAAAAAAAAAATAAACCAGTGAATGTCTTCCTAGAGTGAGCACTCTAGCAAATTAAACAAACTCAAGGAGGGGGTCATGGAGTCCCTGATTTATAGCCAGCTGGTCAGAAGTACAGGTCAAACTACCTGGGGCTTGTGATTTGCATCTGAAATTGGGGGGGGCTCTTGGCGGCTGAGCCCTCACCCTGTGGGATCTGACACTATCTCCAGGTGATAGCATTAGAATTGAACTGGGTTGGAGAATGCCCAGCTGGTGTCTGCTGTGGAACTGACTGGTTGTTTGTAGGGAAAAATTCTCATACACTTCTTGGTGACCAGAGGTCACAGAAGCCTTCTGTGTTGACTATTGTGGTGCGGGAGCAGAAAAAACAGCTTGTTTTTTTTCTGCAGGGGACATTTCTGGGTCCTGATGTCCACTGCCTATTTAGATTTGGAAACAGTCTCTGGATGGCCAACCCGGGTGCCCCCTTGGTCATGAATGATGGACTGCTCTCTCCTTAAGGATTGAGATGGTTCTATCCTTCACCATCACTAGCAAAATGACTGGCTTGAGAGTGAGTGACCAGGGAATACAGTTACCAATAGAACTGCCTTTGCTGTTCATTGATGACCTGTGACATCTGTCACCTACATGACCTGAGACTTCTTTCTGTCTCTGAAATCAAATTTCCAAAATTCAGAGATAAAGACATGTTCCTAGAACTTTGTTTCAGCTTTCACAACCCCTACAATTTCCATTTGAAAAGCCAGCCCAAATGCAACATTAGTTTCCTACACCAGAGAACATTATGATTATAGAGGTTTGGAAAAGGGGAGGAAGGTGTCGTATAAACCCTTAGTTCTGGTTATTTTTTTCCCTTTGTTTGAATGACATTGACTTTTAAGTAACATACAAATAAAAGTAAAACCAGAGTTTTGAAAATTGAGCAAGTTGTACATTTGTCACACTGAAAGAAAAAAAAAGTGTCAGTGCCCTCTTCCAGGTAGATTTTAGTCAAACTGCTTATAATTTCAAAGAACAGGAGGCCACTCATGCTGGTTCAAGGGCAGGTGGCAGGTGGACAGTGTCAAGGGACAATGTGACTGGTGTATTGTGCTGTGGGTGGTTCTGAGGATCGAGGGCTCAAGGAGTCAGTCTTGTCTGCCATCTGGGTGCATCTACTACGTGCTCCCTCTCTTCCAGAAGCTTCTTTAGGACCACTGTAAGTGCCATGCCCTCATAGCCCTAGCTTGCCAACACCCCCCAAAACTTGAGGTTGCATCCTGTCCCTACTCGCCTTTTGGTTCCATTGGCCATGGCCTGAGTGAGGAAGGAATGCTGTGAAAGTGTGGCTTCTGGCCCCAGACGTGGGCAGGACGGCTTCCCTCAGAAGGAACTATAGACATGCCTGCAGTTTGCCTGGCCGTCAGTGTTTTCATTTCCTCTTTTCCTCTCTGTCCCCAGAAAGAGCTCTTGGAGGAAGTTGGCCAGAATAACAGCCGAGCTCAGATCTCTGTTCAAGTCCACAATGCTACGTGCACAGTGAGGATTGCAGCCGTCACAAAAGGGGGAGTCGGGCCCTTCAGTGACCCCGTGAAAATATTTATCCCTGCGCACGGTGAGAGCTATACCCAGTAAGGGCTGATAGGGTGTGATGGTCCAGGCAGTACACAGATTGCCAGAAAGTAACCTGGGGGATGGATGGCTGATTAAAGAATGAAAAATAAGGCTGGGCTTATCTCAACACTTCAGGAGTCAAAAGCAGGAGGAGTTGGAGACCAACCTGGGCAATGGACAGCATAGTGAGACCCTGTCTCTACAAAAAAATACGTATTTTTAAAATTTGCTGGGCATGGTGGATCATGCCTGTTGTCCCAGCTACTTGGGAGGCTGAGATGGGAGGATTGCTTGAACCCAAGAGGCAGAGGTTTCAGTGAGCTATGATCACACCACTGTACTCTAGCTAGGTAAGAGAGCGAGACCCTGTCTCAAAAAAAAAAAAGGAAAAATAAGAATCAAAAATACTTTTTCCACTGATAAAGATAGGATATGATAACATGCTTTATAGAACTGCTGATACCCATAGGTCCCTCCTGTAGTTACTATTAATGGTAATAACTTACTTGGGAGATCAGTCTTTTCAGATGCCAACTTTGGCTTTACTTATTGAACTTAGTTGCAATGATATATACTGTACATGACTGAATTTTAGATAAATGATATAGCTAATCCTTAGCTGTCTATAATTGGGACAATTTATTTGCTGGTGCTTGTTTTGCTGTGTTTCAAACAGTACTGCTTTGCCATGTTTTTACCCATTCAAGCCTTGGGTAACATGCCTTGTGCTTTGTCTGCACAGAATATGAAATATTTCCTATGGAAGCCATCCTCAGACTGTCCTGGGCCCACTGAGCTAAATGCCCAGCCATACGTGTTGGCTTTTGCATGTTGCTGGAATGTCCTTTGGCACGGTGCCACCGTGGTACCCCAGGTGAACCAAGTGCTGTGCTCACTCCATAACCCAATGGAGCCACTTTGTTTGACTCTCACCTTCCCTAGGTTGTTTAATGTTAAATGACTGTCATAAAGTCCATGCATAGGCATCTAGATCAGTGTGCTTATACATTAAGTTTTTGCCAAAAATGACCTTTGTACCCAATAGCAGACAGAACTTGTGAGCAGATGACTGAGTTCCCACCTGTCTGTTACCAGGGACCCTCAAACTTGCTCTCCCTTTTGGTGCTGAAATGGAACCATATTACGTTCCTGCAGCCCATAGGCACAGTTCCTGGGAAACACTAGTAACTGGTGATGGGGAGGCAAGATGTGTCTACCTGGTAGAAATTCAAAGACACTGAGATTCTGCCTGGACATGGTGACTCACGCCTGTAATTCCAACACTTTGGGAGGCCAAGGCAGGCAGATCACTTGAACTCAGGAGTTCAAGACCAGCCTAGCCAACGTGGTGAAACCCCATCTCTATCAAAAACAATAACAACAACAACAAAAATTAGCAGGGTGTGGTGGCATGCGCCTGTGGTCCCAGCTACTTGGGAGGATTGCTTGAGCCCGGCAGGTGGAGGTTGCAGTGAGCCAAGATCACGCCATTGTATTTCTGCCTGGGTGACAGAGTGAGACCCCATCTCCAAAACGAAACAAAACAAAACAAGAACAAAGACAATGAAATTCTGATTCTAAAGGGACAGCTTAAAAAAATCGGAGTTTAGGCTGGGCGCGGTGGCTCATGCCTATAATCCCAGCACTTTGGGAGGCTGCGGCGGGCGGATCCCTTGAGGTCAGGAGTCCCAGACTAACCTGGCCAACATGGTGAAGCCATGTTGGCTATGCAGGCATTCCTTACCTTGCCTGGCTCCAGTATGCACAAATTTCAATTACCACAGTTAAAAAACAGCCATGCCCCAACAATATAGTTCAAATTTTAGTCACCATTCTATATTAACTATAATGGCAGAAAGCATAAACTCGGGCGGCTGGCTCTTCAGGCCACCAATCACTGTAGAAATAACAGATGCACATCACTCTCAGGACCAATGGCGTCATTTCTTTCAAAGTCTGTTGTGATTGGTCACTGCGCCTTTGTCATTCTTTTTGTGCCCACCTAGCGGAGACATGTGGCGGTGTTGCCTCCTTGTCTCCCAGGGACAAACCCACATGCCATTTTACAAAAATGGATAATTGAAAGAGGGAGTTGGTGAACAAAGGTAAAAGCACAGCAAAGAAATGCAAAGTGATAGTGTTCAACGTAAAATTTGAATTGAATGTAAGACTATGGAAAGTTGTTACTGCCCCCGCTGATAAACGTTAGATGTGAACCAGCGGTCCTTAGTGAAGGTGAACTTATGCACATACATGAAGAGATTGTGACAAAAATGTTGAAAATGTCCCAGAGAAAGCGACACCGTCAAAAAACAACATTGAAGGAATACTGAGAGATATTTTACAACCTTGAAAGAATAAAAGATAAAGTATTAGCCGCGGGTCCAAACTTAGGAATGTGACAGTTCTCCAAAACAGAGAAACTATGTTTTTTCTGTATCATAAGTTACATGACTAGAAGGCAAACTATTCAACCTACTCTCGATCGTTTTTTACAAAGAAATGACACTTTAATTTTTCATGTTTCTCACATTTTTAAACTACAGTGCAAGTAAATATTAGTTGTAATTTTTAAAATTTTCTTGTACATGTATAACTGACATGAGTTTTCTCATTGATTTTTAAATTACTATTTTTAATTAACAATTGAAAAATTATATATACCTCTGGAGTACAACGTGACATTTTGATCTATATATACGTTGTGGAATGAGTAAATCAAGCTACTTTCCCATCAGTTATTAAGATCTCTTTGCATGGTGTCAGCTTACGCAAAGGGAGGCCTGCCTGTATTTGTAGATTACAAAAGATTTAACTGAGTTCTGAAAGCTTTGACTATTTGTTCTTCCCTGTTACAAGTCAATGTTTCTCATATATTTCAAACCCGTGATTGGTCTATTGGTATTTTACCAGGTTGGGTAGATCATGCCCCCTCTTCAACTCCAGCGCCTGGCAACGCAGATCCTGTGCTCATCATCTTTGGCTGCTTTTGTGGATTTATTTTGATTGGGTTAGTTTTATACATCTCCTTGGCCGTCAGAAAAAGAGTTCAGGAGACAAAGTTTGGGTAAGTCTCCCAGCTAAAAATGTTTGCTCACTGCTATTGACCAGGTTGTTATACCAAGTGATTATGCCTTTCCTGTTGGGCCAGCTGCTCACATTGCTCCCAGGTGGCTGCCCTACCTTACGCATACCCTGGGCTCAGGCAGCTTCCTGACTTAGGCCATGGCTTACAGAAGCAGCTGCCAGCAAAAGCCAGCCCTGAAAAGGGTTCCTTTACAGAGAAGAGTATCAGTAGGCCTTTGCTACTCAAACTGGGTTGCTGTTAAGTGAGGGCTTTTATTAGAAGCCTTAAAAATAGGCCGAGGGCGGTGGCTCACACCTGTAATCCCAGCACTTTGGGAGGTCAAGGCAGGCGGATCACTTGAGGTCAGGAGTTTGAGACCAGCCTGGCCAACAGGGCAAAACGTTGTCTCTACAGAAAATGCAAAAATTGGCTGGGCATGATGACACTTGCCTGTAATCCCAGCTACTTGAGAGGTTGAGTCACAGGAATTGCTTGAACCCAGAAGGGTTGTTGGCAGGTTGGAGTGGGACAGATTGAGTGAGGAGTGTATGGCTATACTTTGGAGGGGGCTGAGCCTCCCTCTTTCATTGCTCCACCTTCAGAATGCTACTAGAACATCCCACTCACTCCAAGACTTGCCATAGGCGTGGGAAGGGCTTAAGATTGGCAGCCAGGCTGCCCTTTATTTGTGTTCATCCCAGTCTTAGGGGTCAGTTACTTTAGTCTTTACAAGCCTATTCTTACAATTGTTATATGTTAGTATGTGAATTCTAAGAATGACTATTTTAAAGAAGTGGACAAAATCCGATCTAAATCTTGAACATATAATTGACTAAAATACATCCCAGGATCTTGGTGTGACATGTGGGCTCATCATAAAACAAGTACGGAGAACCTCTGCAGAAGCTGCAAGAGTAGCCCATTAATATGTATTAAAGGCCTGCTAGGCACTGGGCACTGCAGTTGCCTGGAATACAGTGGTGAACAAAATCCTGCCCTCATGGGGTTCACAGTTCATGGGGAGTCAGGCAGTAGTCAAGCCGTCACAGAATAGATTAACAATGGCAACTGTAATAAATTCTATGTAAAGGGGTAAGAATGTGTCAGAAAAATTTGGCTGCGTGAAGAAAGTCAGGGAAGGCCTTCGTGCAGAAGTGGCTGACACCAGAGCTAAGATCTAAAGAAAGAGCAGGTATTCATTAGATGAGAGAGAAGAAGAGCATTCCAGCCAGAAAGAGCAGCACATGTCACATTACCAAAAAGTGGGGCTGCTGAGCACAGCAAATATATTAACAAGATTACAATACTATTTCAAATATTTAAAAATAAAACTATTTCCAGGAACCGTTAAGCTCAGCAGAAGCTTAAAACAAAGACTTGTAACAGGTTATTTTTATCTCTGCCAAAGTCAGTTCCCATGGATCCTTACTACAAGATCTATTCATTTGTTCCTTTTGTAAAACCGCTTTCCAGCTCATTTTTAAATGAAAATACTTTTATTTTTACTTATAAAAATAACATTATATTTTTAAAAAATCAGATTACATAGAATAGTCAAAAGGAGAAAGTGAGACCCATCTCAGGCCCATAGTTGGTCTTGGTTGCTATTTTGGCGTACATCTTTCCAAGTGCTTTGCTTTTTTTACATCAGTATTTTTTTTAATTGTGTATCTCTTTGAAATAACCTATGTACCTAAGGTAAATTGAGATTAAATCTGTAATCTGGACTTTCTAATTCATAATACTTTCCCACCAATTAGTCTAAAACAGTGACTAAATGGATTATTAAAATAGGCTTCATTTTTTATTTTTAAAATTAATTCTTTTTTTGAGACAGCATCTTGCTCTGTCGTCCGGGCTAGAGTGCAGTGGTGCAGTCATAGCTCACTGCAGCCTCATCCTCCGGAACCCAAGTGATCCTCCCATCTCAGCCTCCCGATTAGCTGGGACCGCAGTCGCACACTACCATTTCTGGCTAATTTTCTTACTTTTTGTAGATATGAGGCATCTCACCTTGTTGCCCAGGCTGGTCTTGAACTCCTGGGCTCAAGTGATCCTCCTGCCTCAGCCTCCCAAAGTGCTGGGATTGCAGGCATGAATCACCACGCCCAGCCTTATTTTTAGAACAGTTTTAATTTTACAGAAACATTGAGAAGATAGTACAGAGACTTCTCATATGCTCCATACCTAGTTTCCTCTATTGTTAACAGCTTACATTATTAGTGTCACACGTGTCTGTGTGAAGAGACCATCAACAGGCTTTGTGTGAGCAATAAAGCTTTTTTTTTTTTTTTTTTTTTGGGACGGGGTCTTGCTCTATCACCCAGGCTGGAGTGCAGTGGCACTATCTCGGCTCACTGCAAGCTCCGCCTCCCAGGTACACGCCATTCTCCTGCCTCAGCCTCCCGAGTACCTGGGACTATAGGCGCCTGCCATCACACCCGGCTAATTTTTTGTATTTTTAGTAGAGACGGGGTTTCACCATGTTAACCAGGATGGTCTCGATCTCCTGACCTCGTGATCTGTCCGCCTTGGCCTCCCAAAGTGCTGGGATTACAGGCATGAGCCACCGTGCCTGGCCACAATAAAGCTTTTTAATCACCTGGGTGCAGGCGGGCTGAGTCCGAAAAAGGAGTCAGCAAAGGGTGGTGGAATTATTGTTAGTTCTTATAGGTTTGGGATAGGCAGTGGAGTTAGGACCAATTTTTTGCGGGCAGGGGGTGGATCTTGCAGAGTACATTCTCAAGAGTGGGGAGAATATTACAAAGTACCTTCTCAAGGGTGGAGAGGGTGTATCGTACAAAGTACATTCACAAGGACGGGGGGAATATCACAAAGTACCTTATTGCAAGGGAGGGGAGGGTGTATTGTCACAAAGTCAATTGATCAATTAGGGTGGAGCAGGAACAAATCACAATGGTGGAATGTCATCAGTTAAGGCAGGAACTGACTATTTTCACTTCTTTTGTGGATCTTCGGTTGCTTCAGGCCATCTGGATGTATACGTGCAGGTCACAGGGGAAATGATGGCTTAGCTTGGGCTCAGGGTCCTGACAATTAGTATAATACATTTGTTACAGTTAATGAGCCAATATTGATACATTGTCATTAGCTAACATCTCTACTTTGAGATTTCCTTAATTTTCACCTAATGTCCCTTTTCTGTTCTGGGATCCCATCCAGGACGCCACATTTTACAGTCAGTCGTCACATCTCCTTAGGCTCCTCTTGGCTGTGGCTGTTTCTTAGACCTTTCTTGTCTTTGATGATCTTGCCAGTTTTCAGAAGTGTTAGTTGGGGGTTTTATAGGATGCCCCTCTGTTGCAATTTGTTCGATGTTTTGCTGATAATGAGCAGGGGTTATGGGTGATTGAGAGGAAGAGCCACAGAATTAAAGTGCCATTGTCATCACTTCTTATCAAGGGTGCATATTAACATGATTTTTCACTGCTGATGTTGACATTGATCACCTAACGGAAGTAGTATTTGCTGGGTTTCTCTACCATGAAGTTATTTTTTCTCCCTTTCCCTACTGTTCTTTGGAAGCAAGTCCCTATGCAAGCCCATACTCACAGCGTAAGGATTTAACTCCCTCCACCCCTTACTAGCTACATAAAATATTTGGAATCCTTCACCACAGGAGATTGGTGTGTTTTGTTCCATTCATTCATTCAATCATATTTTCATAAGTATGAACTCATTGATATTCATTTTATACTCATAGTCTAGTATTACTTTAGTTTCTTGCTCAGATTGTTACAGCTTTGGCCACTGGGAGCTTGTCTGTTATTCTCTGTTCTTGATGGTACCTAGCTAGAGTAGTTTCAATATTGCCAAGTAAGTCTAAAATAAATCAAAGGAAAGAAACATATTTCTTCTAGGGGGAAAGTTTTTGTTGTAGAAGAGCCCATTGAAAAGGGGAAGCTCTGTAGCATCCTTGTGGAATCAGCACCTGCCCCAGTAGCCCTGTTTTTATAGTGAAGTATCTTTGTTTTCATTCACCCAGGAATGCATTCACAGAGGAGGATTCTGAATTAGTGGTAAATTATATAGCAAAGAAGTCCTTCTGTCGGCGAGCCATTGAACTTACCTGTAAGTTGGCTTTCATTTCCCTTTTTGGCAAAAGTTAAAATAGTTGAGAACAAAGAAAGAACAACAGACAGATTTCTAACAAAAGCCAAAGGTATCGAAGACGAATGGGTATTTTTAATGTACAAAATGTCTTTAAAAGCCGCAAGTAGATAGATATTGCTATGCACAGCTCTGCGGGCTAGTTTACTAGAATCAGGAGCTTAACCTGGGGTTAAAAGGACTCCTAATGTCATGAAATGTGGCAGAAAAGAGGAACCTTCTGGGGTGACAGAAGATGGGTAGAGGTCAGGGATTTTTTTTTTTTTTTTGAGACAGAGTCTCGCTCTGTCGCCCAGGCTGGAGTGCAGTGGCCGGATCTCAGCTCACTGCGAGCTCCGCCTCCCGGGTTTACGCCATTCTCCTGCCTCAGCCTCCCAAGTAGCTGGGACTACAGGCGCCCGCCACCTCGCCCGGCTAGTTTTTTGTATTTTTAGTAGAGACGGGGTTTCACCATGTTAGCCAGGATGGTCTCGATCTCCTGACCTTGTGATCCGCCCGTCTCAGCCTCCCAAAGTGCTGGGATTACAGGCTTGAGCCACCGCGCCCGGCCGAGGTCAGGGATTTAAAGAAAACTTATAACTAGCGGACATAATCTCGAGCCTCATTTCCTGTTTTCCTGGCAACCAACTCCGAGGATGATGTGCCAACATGCTTTATAGTAATTATGGTTTGAGCTTTGCTGAATCAGAGAGTGGGGGCTTCTGGTTTAAACAGTGGAACTAAACAGATACTAGTGTTCCTGAATAATTTCAGAAAAAGTATAGAAAGAACGTGCAAATATTAACAAATTCATGCTTCTGGATTTTTGCCCCCAGTAAAGAAAATCTATGAAAATGACAGAATACAGGTTGCTATGAAATAGAAACTTGCTTGGTGTAGAATATTATTAGTTGCTTTACGTTTCTAGTCTGTAAGTTTTGACTTTTAGATATCCTCAATTTTTTTTAATTTAAAATTTAAAAATTTGTCATTTAGACCACTTTCTCTCCTTTATTGGAGAACCACTGGATAAAGTTTTTTCTCGGAGAACTAATGTGTCCTAATTATCCACATTTTTTTTTTTTCTTTCAAGAGCTTGTTGATGCCTTAACTATGGTCCAGACTGAATCATTTGCCAGGAGTTGTTGAACTGGTCTCCTTCTGGTTAATTTCTCTTGTTGCCAACACAACACATCTATTATATATCTTACTATATTACATATTTTATTATAGAAAATCGTATTCTCCAATTCCTCAAAGTGCTCATTTTAGCCCTAGCTAAGCTGTTATAATGAGGTTTCATATACAGTATGTAAAATAAGAGCTTGTTCTCTAGATGTTTTCTGTGGTTTGTGAGACTCCATCCATGGCATGGGAGGGTAGGGGAAGTGTGGTTCTTTTGTATACTGTAGTTAAGGGTATAATATTAATAGTAAAGAATTCACTAGAAAGTACCTATTGACTTACCTTCCTTACCCCTTTAAGTCAAAGGCAAACCACCCCTACATGAATCTGATTGCTGGCTGCTGCTACCACACTACAGAAAGAGAAATACGGTTCTCATTTTTGTAATTCTTCAGAATTAACCTTGCCCTGAAAGATTCATTATACTTAGTTTAATCATAATAAAGTATGAAGTTTCATTACTGGCAATTTGGGGAGAGAAATAATAGATACAAAATGAGAAAAGGGGCTGGCTGTGGTGACTCACGCCTGTAATCCCAGCACTTTGGGAGGGCGAGGTGGGCAGATTACTTGAGGTCAGGAGTTCGAGACTAGTCTGGCCCACATTATGAAACCTGTCTCTACTAAAAATACATAAATTAGCTGGGTGTGGTGGTGCGTGCCTGCAGTTCCAGATACTTGTGCCGGCGGAGGCACAAGAATCGCTTGAACCTAGGAGTCAGAGGTTGCAGTGAGCCAAGACTGTGCCATTGCACTCCAGCCTGGGCAACAGAGCTAGACTCTGGCTCAATAAATAAATAAATAAATAAATAAATAAATAAGGAATATTTATTTTATTTTATTTATTTATTTATTTTTTGAGATGGAGTCTCGCTCTGTTGCCCAGGCTAGAGTGCAGTGGCCAGATCTCGACTCACTGCAAGCTCCGCCTCCCGGGATTACGCTATTCTCCTGCCTCAGCCTCCCGAGTACCTGGGACTACAGGCGCCCGCCACCTTGCCCGGCTAGTTTTTTTGTATTTTTTAGTAGAGACGGGGTTTCACCGTGTTAGCCAGGATGGTCTCGATCTCCTGACCTCGTGATCCGCCCATCTTGGCCTCCCAAAGTGCTGGGATTACAGGCTTGAGCCACTGCGCCCGGCAGGAATGTTTATTATACAGGACTTTATTTCATTTTAGTTATTAAGTGAAAGAAAGCATGCTGACAATTTTTATACATACTAAATTACTCCTTTTTCAGTACATAGCTTGGGAGTCAGCGAGGAACTACAAAATAAACTAGAAGATGTTGTGATTGACAGGAATCTTCTAATTCTTGGAAAAATTCTGGGCGAAGGTAAGCAGTTTAAAGTAATTCTAATAAAATGTGGGACAAAAAGGTAAGCAGTTTAGAATAGTTCTTTAACATGTATTTATTAAATAAAATACCATCTTAGGACTCTGAGTTATACTATGGATAGTTATATTTTATTATTTAAAATGATAGACTATTGATTTTTGAAACTCAGATCTGGCAAATGAAAAGATTCTCTTCAATGCCTAGCACATACAGGTCCTTGAAAAATATTAATTTTCGTTCTTCATTGAAAAGCATGTAATTCATTGATTAGTTTCCTACGTACTTTAAGATTATTCCTCTAGTTCTTAAGTTTATTGTTCTTGGCATCTTTCTAATTAGGAACAAAAATGAAAATACATATTTAACTTGTTAAGTTGTTCTTAGGATGAATGATAATGGTATTAAGAGTTTGTGCTTTAGAAACTTCAATTGTTTTTTTCATGTTCTCTTCTAAGTGTCTTGGATCGGTTATAATGCTTAATAAAGTGATGAGCAAAGGTAGGCCCAAGCCACCCAAGCTCATGACAAGCAGGAGACTAGAGTGCGGTGCATCGCCCTGGTTTGCGATGCGGGTGGCCTGGGCCGGCTCTGCCTGGCTACCCGTGGGTGAGATGCTCTCATACCACGTGAAGCCAGCAGCCCTGGCATTGTAGCATTTCTGTGGTCAGGGGAGAATTTGCACAGTGTCCATACAGAGTTCTTTCACTTCACAGGAGAGTTTGGGTCTGTAATGGAAGGAAATCTTAAGCAGGAAGATGGGACCTCTCAGAAAGTGGCAGTGAAGACCATGAAGTGTGAGTTATCAATGATGAATCCCATTCTTCTGGGGTGGGCAGTTGCTTCAGTATTGGGTGCTCCATGAGGCCATATGTCACAATCTCAGTTGCCAGTGGGTCAGAAGGCAATGAGTAACACTGGTCACCAAGGGGGAATTACTATAATGAGCTCTTCATGCATGCATTACATATTCTTTTGTGGGTTTTTTTTTTTTTTTTTTTTTTTTTTGAGACAGAGTCTTGCTTTGTCGCCCAGGCTGGAGTGCAGTGGTGCAATCTCAGCTCACTGCAAGCTCTGCCTTCCAGGTTCACGCCATTCTCCTGCCTCAGCCTCCCAAGTAGCTGGGACTACAAGTGCCTGCCACCACGCCTGGCTAATTTTTGTATTTTTAGTAGAGACGGGGTTTCACCGTGTTAGCCAGGATGGTCTCGATCTCCTGACCTTGTGATCCGCCCACCTCAGCCTCCCAAAGTGCTGGATTACAGGCATGAGCCACCATGCCCGGCCTACATATTCTTTATACTCAAGGCAATAACATTTTTTTAAGTTTTACTAACTCCTGCATACCTATGCATACATACTCTCTTTCTTGCTCTCTCTCTTTCTCTCACTGTCTCTCTCTCTCTCACTCTCTCTCATCTAGTAGAGCTAACAACTCCAAAGGAGAGCATGAATTGCTGAGGCAGTGGTGATCTGAAGGCAACATCTGACCCCAGGGGTTGTTCTGGCCGACCTGTCTAGTGTGGTGGGGCCACTTCCTCATTTGAGGATGATTGCATGGCCCTGAGGAAGCTGTGGGCTGCCTGGAAAGTAAGTTCCCCAGAAGGAGGAGAAATACTTGGTCAAGGCATATGAAGAGTTGCTATCATAAGCTAGAACTTCCAAGCAAGATGGGAAGAGAGCCAGCAGTGGGGCAGGGAGGGTCTTGTAAATCATAGCCAAGAACCTGCTTTATCCTGCAAGGAGTAGAGCGCTATTAAGAGTCTTAACCAGCTGGGCACGGTGGCCTGTATCCCAGCACTTTGGGAGGCTGAGGCGGGCGGATCACAAGGTCAGGAGTTTGAGACAAGCCTGACCAACATGGCAAAACCCCGTCTCCACTAGAAATACAAAAATTAGCTGGGCATGGTGGCACGCACCTGTAATCCCAGGTGGCTGAGGCAGGAGAATCGCTTGAACTCAGGAGGCAGAGGTTGCAGTGAGCCTAGATCACGCCACTGGACTCCAGCCTGGGTGACAGAGTGAGACTCAAGTCTCAAACAAAAAAGAGTCTTAACCAAGTAAGAACAGAGCAGGTTACATTCCAGAAAGTTCACTTTGATGTCAGTGTGGAGGAGAACAAATTACAGTGTTGACAAAAATAGTGCTAGATGCACGTATGTTTATTGCAGCACTATTCACAATAGCAAAGACTTGGAATCAACCCAAGTGTCCATCAGTGACAGACTGGATTAAGAAACTGTGGCACATATACACCATGGAATACTATGCAGCCATAAAAAAGGATGAGTTCGTGTCCTTTGTAGAGACATGAATGCAGCTGGAAACCATCATTCTCAACAAATTATCGCAAGAACAGAAAACCAAATACCGCATGTTCTCACTCATAGGTGGGAATTGAACAATGAGATCACTTGGACACAGGAAGGGGAATATCCCACACCGGGGCCTATTGTGGGGAGGGGGGAGGAGGGAGGGGGGAGGGATAGTATTAGGAGATATACCTAATGTAAATGACGAGTTAATGGGTGCAGCACACCAACATGGCACATGTATACATATGTAACAAACCTGCACGTTGTGCACATGTACCCTGGAACTTAAGGTATAATAATAAAAAAATAAATAAAAAAAAATAGTGCTAGATGCCAGTTAGGACACTCTAAAATCTATGCAGTCTAGGCCCTCTCGAATCCTTTTTTTTTTTTTTTAATTGAGATGGAGTCTCACTGTGTCACACAGGCTGGCGTGCAGTGGTGCCATCTTGGCTTACTGCAACCTCCACCTCCTGGGTTCAAGTGATTCTCCCACCTCAGTCTTCTGAGTAGCTGGGATTACAGGTACCCACCAACACACCTGGCTAAATTTTTGAATTTTTAGTAAAGATGGGGTTTCTCCATGTTGGCCCAGCTGGTCTTGAACTCCTGACCTCAAATGATCCACCTGCCTCAGCCCCCCAAAGTTCTGGGATAACAGGCGTGAGCCACCACACCTGTCCCAAAATCTATATAGATAAGGAAACTATAGTGACTTGCTGACTTGTCTAATTGAAATAGCTAGAAAGGGGGCAGGTTGTGCTGGGCTTCTTCATTACCATAAGATGACCAGATTTCACCGGCAGAGCAACGTAGCATTTCCTCTCCTTGTCCTTCTCCCAGGAAGGACACACAGCTGTCTAAGTTTGATTCTATGGGTGTCTGGCTGGTCATGGCCTATCACTGGGGAACTTAGAAAATAGACTGTGGTCATATGGCATTTCACCCACAGTCTTCATCACGAATCATGGATGGAGATTATTTGGTGCTCAGTTTGTCAATATTCTTGGTGTTGCTTCCTTATTAACCCCTTGTACCTATTCAATACTATTTTTGATCAGGGAATAAAGTAAAGTTGGATTCTTCCTAAAATTTAAATCCACTAGTTACTGGACATTAACGCGTAAGTTAGATTATAAGCATGTTCTGAGACTCTTAAATGAAAAGGCTGAAGTTTATTTATTTTTTTCTTTTTGAGACAGAGTATTGCTCTGTCACCTAGGCTGGAGTGCAATGGCACGATCTCGGCTCACTGCAACCTCTGCCTCTGGGTTCAAGTAATTCTCCCGCCTCAGCCTCCCGAGTAGCTGGGATTACAGGCATGCACCACCATGTCTGGTTAATTTTTGTATTTTTTGTAGACATGGGATTTCACCATGTTGGCCAGGCTGGTCTTGAATTCTTGGCCTCAAGTAATCCGCCCACTTTGGCCTCCCAAAGTGCTGGGATTACAGGTGTGAGCCACCGCACCTGGCCTGGAGGCTGAAGCTTAATTCGGTTATGAAAAGGAACCACAATAACCAACAAGCCACATGAACCGATGCTTTTTGCTTTTTAAGTAGACCGTAATGGCTAATATTTATGCGATACTCACCGTTAGCCAAAGGACGTTGCAGTTATTCCCGCATTTCATCAGGACAAGAAGAAGAGAAAATGAACATAACTGAAAGGAGGTTCAGGAACTAGCCCCCAGAAACTAAAGCACCCTGAAGTCAGAATACTAACTGGAGCTGAACCGAGCACTGAGCCATATTCTGTACCATTCCTGCTCTTCCGTGATTTTATTTGAGCCTCACAGTGTGTCTGTGGGGAATCCTTCCATAATCCCTATTTAGGGATATAGGCACGCATATTAGGAGGCCTAGTGGGAGGAGCTGGGCCTGGAACCCCCTTTTTCGCTGGCTTGGCTCTGCAGTTATTTAATTTCATTAGGGTAACTTGCATAGGGATTACACCCCTGCTAATTGTCAAAGATTGAGAGAATAATCTCTAGCTTCAAAATCCCCAGGCTCAGCTACATTTACTTGCAGGTTGGACCCCCCAGGGAAGAGTCTGCAGGCAGAGCCCTGCACCTCTATTCCCCCACCTGGCTATTTGCAGCAAAAGGAATAGGTGAGGGCAAATTTTTGCAGATGTATAGATTTTTTTTTTTTAATTAGAGAAATTTTGAATTTTTCTAAATTTGCTTCAGTAGAAAGAAGAGTAGGCCGGGCGCGGTGGCTCAAGCCTGTAATCCCAGCACTTTGGGAGGCCGAGACGGGCGGATCACGAGGTCAGGAGATCGAGACCATCCTGGTTAACACGGTGAAACCCTGTCTCTACTAAAAAATACAAAAAACTAGCCGGCCGAGGTGGCGGACGCCTGTAGTCCCAGCTACTCGGGAGGTGGAGGCAGGAGAATGGCGTGAACCCGGGAGGCGGAGCTTGCAGTGAGCTGAGATCCGGCCACTGCACTCCAGCCTGGGTGACAGCGCGAGACTCCGTCTCAAAAAAAAAATAAATAAATAAATAAATAAATAAAGAAGAGTAATATATATTAAGCCCATAGGATGGTACAGACACTGCATTAGATGCCCTCGTGCATGATTTTAATCAGTAGTTATGCACTGTTAATGCAAATTCCCGAAGGCAAACCTGACTTTTTGTTTTATTTATTTGTTTTTAATTGGGGCAACATATACATAATGTAAAATTTACCATCTTAACCATTTTAAGTATACAGTTCAGTGATATTAAGAGCCATATTCATAATGTTATACAACCATCACTACCATCCATCTCTAAAACTTTTCTTTTTTTTTTTATGTTGAGACAGAGTCTCGCTCTGTCACCCAGGCTGGAGTGCAGTGGTGCTATCTCGGCTCACTGCAAGCTCCGCCCCCTGGGTTCATGCCATTCTCCTGCCTCAGCCTCCCGAGTAGCTGGGACTACAGGCACCCACCACCATGCCCGGCTAATTTTTTGTATTTTTAGTAGAGACGGGGTTTCACCCTGTTAGCCAGGATGGTCTCGATCTCCTGACCTCGTGATCCACCCGCCTTGGCCTCCCAAAGTGCCGGGATTACAGGCGTGATCCACTGCGCCCGGCCCCAAAACTTTTCATCTTGCAAAACTGAAACTCTACACCTACTGAACAATGACTCCCCATTACCCTCTCTCCCCAGCCCTAGCAAGCACTATTCTATTTTCTGTCTCTGATTTTGACTCTCTAGGTACTTCATACAATATTCATCCTTTTGTGACTGGCTTATTTCACTTAGCATAATACAGAATTTTAAATGTCTCTCTTAAGCCAATTTAATTTAAAAAACGTGGTGTGAAAATGCATCCGGCTCATAAGGTGTGGTTGAGCAACCAGACTTGCAGGACACACACCAACAGAAAGGGAGAGGTGTGGGTTCTTTCTTTTTTAAAAAAAAACAGGCTGGGCGCGGTGGCTCATGCCTGTAATCCCAGCACTTTGGGAGGCCGAGGTGGGCAGATCACGAGGTCAGGAACTCGAGACCATCTTGGCTAACATGGTGAAACCCTGTCTCTACTAAAAAATACAAAAAAAAAAAAAAAATTAGCCGGGTGTGGTGGCGGGCGCCTGTAGTCCCAGCTACTTGGGAGGCTGAGGCAGGAGAATGATGTGAACCTGGGAGGTGGAGCCGAGATCCTGCCACTGCACTCCAGCCTGGGGGAAAGAGCAAGACTCTGTCTCAAAAAAAAAAAACAAAAACAAAAGCAAATATAATTGCAACAGATCAGTTAGAATTGTTCTTGGTTTTGGGTTTTTTTTTTTTTTTTTTTTTGGAATTTTTTTTCTTTACCATTAGACTTTAACTTTTTAGAGCAGTTTCAGGTTTGCAGAAAAGTTGGGCAGAAAGTACAGAGAATGCTCATAGGTCCCCTCCTGACACACACAATCTCTCCTATTATTAATGTCTTTTATTACTGAGCTGCATTTTTTGCAATTGATGAACCCATACTGATACATTATTATTAACCAGAGTCCATATTTTACATTAGGGCTCACTCTTGGTGTTGTACAACTCTGTGGGTTTTGACAAATGTGTAGTGTCATGCATCCACCACTACAGTATCTTACAGAATTATTTCTTGGCCCTAAAAGTCCCCTGTGCTTTGCCTGTTTGCCCCCGTCTTCTCTTCCCTACCCCTACTAGCCCGTGACAACCACCCATCTGTTTCCTGTCTCTATAGTTTCATCTCTTCCTGGCCTGGATTTTAGAGAACAGAATTGCTGTTGCCCACCCCCTCCCCTTAATTGAGTGAATTATCCATACTTAACCTTTTCTTTTTTCTCCTTTAGTGGACAACTTTTCACAGCGGGAGATCGAGGAGTTTCTCAGTGAGGCAGCGTGCATGAAAGATTTCAGCCACCCAAATGTCATTCGACTTCTAGGTACTTCTGAGAAATGTGGGAGTGGGTGGCCAAGGGGCTCTGCTGATCTGCTCTGTGCCAAAGGGAAAGATCTCTGGTGTAGATACGTTTACACTTTGTGTAACCCCAACACAAACACTATAACATTGAGGTTATACACTTTGTGTAACCCCAACACAAACACTATAACATTGAGGTTATACACTTTGTGTAACCCCAACACAAACACTATAACATTGAGGTTTCCACCCAGACTTCTCTTCACAGTGATGTTTTCTAAGGCTGATAGTCATCATGAGCTTGCGTTTTCTGGACACTGATGGGCTCGGGAATGTTTGAGTTTTCCACAGAATTCTGGAGAGTATAAATTAAATTGTCCTTGGTTACTCAAAGGCAAGACACAGAGGTGGCCGTGTTATAATTTTTATTAATTTAAGTTTATACATGAGTTAGGCAGCAGTGGGATAAAGCTGAAAAAGTAGACAAATTCCACAGGTTATCTTTGAGAAGTAATTTATTAACCTATTTGAAAGCACTGATTTCTGGCCAGGCGCGGTGGCTCACACCTGTAATCCCAGCACTTTTGGAGGCCGAGGCAGGTGAATCACATGAGGTCTGGAGTTCCAGACCAGCCTGGCCAACATGGTGAAACCCTGTCCCTGCTAAAAATACAAAAAAAATTAGCCAAGCATGGTGGCAGGTGCCTGTAATCCCAGCTACTCAGGAGGCTGAGGCAGGAGAATCGCTGGAACCCAGGAGGTGGAGGTTGCAGTGAGCCGAGATCGCACCATTGCACTCCAGCCTGGGGAACAAGAGGGACACTTTGTCTAAAAAAAAAAAAAAAAAAGAAAGTACTGATTTCTTAAGATTATGGTACATTGATGATTTCATGGAATATGACTTAGCAGTTCCATAGAATGTGATTTAATGTAATTTGGCTTTGCAGCTCCGTTACCCGAAAATTACAAAAGAGGAGATTAAGTATGGAATGGATGCTGTATAAGTGACTCTGTCCCAAGAGAGAAGAGTAACCTGGAAATAATTGAATTTTCTGCTAGCTTTGGTTTTTTGTTTTTGTTTTGCCATCCTGTGACTGGATACACGCTAAATTCTTTTGAGATCTTTCAAAGTTTTATATGACTGACACTGCAGAGAGATGTGAAAATCAATGTTTGTATACAGTATTATGTCAAATACACTACTGTTATTCATTCACTGCTATTGGCTTTAGCCGACTATGAGAACAATCTCACTTTGTGATCACACCACAGAGTGCAGGAGCTTTGCAAGCCTGGGATCAGGTGACAGCCTCTGGCTCTCAGATTCCATGATAAATGATATTGTAGCTTCTCCTCTACAAAACTGTTAAAATTCAGGGATGTGAATTTTACCTACAGCCCTTCAAAGTTGTTTTACTAGTTTAAGCATTTGCAGTGGACTTTTTCACATGATTAAATAGCTATCACATGAAACTAGTTCGCCCTTAAATCTTGTGGGGTCACTACCCCTCAGACTCAGTCTAACAGGAATTCCTGGGTTTCTAGATGGCTATAGTTGTTACAGTTTGATTTGTGAGAGCCCTCATGCCCTCATTAATCTGAAAGGGGGGGAAAAAAAAAGTAGTGGACCCTGTGTGTGTTCCATTTTCTAGAACAGGTGTGAGTGAGGAGCTCTTCGGTTTTTTAAACTGTTAACTTGGTAACACGTGGCTTCAGTTTGGCCAGTGGTCCTGCAGGGCTTTTCTGGTCACAGTAACAAGGGCTCTTTGTAATTGATGCTGTGTTTGTAATTTCAGGTGTATGTATAGAAATGAGCTCTCAAGGCATCCCAAAGCCCATGGTAATTTTACCCTTCATGAAATACGGGGACCTGCATACTTACTTACTTTATTCCCGATTGGAGACAGGACCAAAGGTAATGATCTCTTTGTGTTACCCCCGAACGCTTCTCAGGGCTTATGTGACTTAGTCAGGACAACCAAATCGTCTAACCTTGAAAGTGAAGCCAGGAAGGAGAGGACAATGATCTTTGTTCAGAGCTCCCTGTGTGTCCAGGGGTGGAAATGTGGGGTCTATCCTCACAGCAGGCCTGCTCCAGGTATTATTATCCTGCTTTACGGTGGGGTAAGAGGCTGTGTGCACAGTCTTTTTTTTTTTTTTTTTTTTTTTTTGAGACGGAGTCTCACGCTGTTGCCCAGGCTGGAGTGCAGTGGCGCGATCTCGGCTCACTGCAAGCTCCGCCTCCTGGGTTCACGCCATTCTCCTGCCTCAGCCTCCTGAGTAGCTAGGACTACAGGAGCCTGCCACCGCGCCCGGCTAATTTTTTGTATTTTTAGTAGAGACGGGGTTTCACTGTGGTCTCGATCTCCTGACCTTGTGATCCGCCCGCCTCGGCCTCCCAAAGTGCTGGGATTACAGGCTTGAGCCACCGCGCCCGGCCGTGTGCACAGTCTTATGGACAAAGCTTTACCAACTTGAGTTGGGTGGCCCAGGCTCCTGATTCTGCACTTCACACCCCTCATGGCCGCATACTCCCCAGAGCTCGCAGACCAAGGGAAGGCCATTGAAGATGGCTCTCCTAAAAGAAATTTTACAGAGCCCATTCTGGATTTCAACCTTTGAAAAAGTGTTGGTGACCCAAGAGGACTGCACAACCGATGTTCTGAAAAACGTTGGTAACATTTTACTCCCTACGTTGACTTACCCACCGTGAGTACTGTGACGCCCTGGGAATTTTGGATGTAGCTGTAGAGGCAGTTACAGATCATCTAGGAAATTTAGGACCACAGGCACGCCCGCCTTTCTTCAGGGTGAATTTTCAGTATTGACTTCGAGGGTTGTAGCGTTAAGGAATCATAGCCACTGGGGATGTTGTGTCTTTCATTTCCTAGGCCTCCTTATCTGAAACGAAAACAGTATCCTCCTGTTACGTTTTGTGGACAAACGGTGGACTGCGAGCAGGCAGTGTGAGTGTGTCCTGACTACGTGCCTGGCTAAGCAGGACGCCCTTCCTGCCTTGCACGCACCTTCTCCGTCTGCTGCAAAAGGCAGCGATCCTGCAGCGCTCTGGTTGGGACACATGTGGGAACGGGGTGTGGCTGGCCTCTGTCAACAGTCATTCTCTGACTGGGCAAAAGGGCAAAAGTCACTCCAGATCATCACTGCCCTTAATCACAGCCGTAAGAAACCACAGGTCCTGGGAAGGAACCGCACCACCCAGTCTACACCTTGGCATTCTCAGACACACCCCACCTTTGTCCCTTTAGCTGCCATCAGTATCAGGACCGCTGAGTGCAGTAGGGCGGTTAGGAACAACTGCTTCCTTCACTGCATCAGCAATGGCTGCGGGAAAGAATTCTTGCTGCTCTTACTTGATGGTCTGATGAGTCCACAGGATGAAAGTGCAAGGAAATTAGTTCTTAGGGACCATGAAAACTCACTCCCACTGGCTCTGCAGACAAAACACAGAGGGGAAAATGTCCCAGGCAGCACCGGTGTGGTGGAGATCTGCACACTCCAATGTATCTACAAACCTGGGGTGACAGTGGCCTAGGGTCAGCCAGGTCACTTTTCCAAGTGAAGCGGTGCCATGAAACTCACTCACAAACTGTTAACCAAAGAAGGTTTATTAAGTTCTGCCCAGGTGCGGTGGCTCACGCCTGTAATCCCAGCGCATTGGGAGGCCGAGGTGGGCAGATCACTTGAGGTCAGTTCGAGACCAGCCTGACCAACATGGTGAAACCCCATCTCTAATGAAAAAATACAAAAATTAGCCAGGTGTGGTGGCAGGCACCGGTAATCCCAGCTACTTGGGAGGCTGAAGCAGGAGAATCACTTGAACTAGGAAAGCGGAGGTTGCAGTGAGCCGAGATCATGCCACTGCACTCTAGCCTGGGTGACAGAGTGAGACTCCATCTGAAAAAAATAAAAAAAAGAAGGTTTATTGAGTTCATTAGTTCACTCTGTGAACAAGTGCTGACTCTGAGGTGGGCACTGAGCTCTGAGGACACTAGAGGGAACATGACAGATGTGGTTCCTGCCCCATGGAGCTGACCTGCTGGTGGTGAGTGAGGGGAGAACAGGAGATAGACAATTGGTTATTCACAGTGAGGGAGCTGTGGGCACCAGGAGCACAGGGGCTCAAATGCCCAGTGGGCCAGGCAGAGCCCAGCGGGGGCACAGGGGCAGGAAGTGTGCAAGGTAACTAGACTGGGGGGTGTGGTGTCCGTGCACAGATGCAGAACCTCATGGTGGCAGGACCAGGACTTCTTTGTTTCAGTAACCTGGAGAAGGTTGGCAGATAGATCAGAGATGGTGATTGGAATATGCTGCGGGCTCTGCCGCTTAGAAGGAGGGATTGCTGCAGAGAAATGTGAGTTCCCTTTCCCCCCACCCCCCCACACCCAGTCATTGAGCATCTTCTTGTCAGTGAAGCCACATTCCTTCTAAAAGATGTTTGGGCCCCGTGTGCTGTCAGAGAAGCTTCTTGTATTTGGAGTCCCCTCTTTTTGGCTTGTTCCTTATAACATCTCTGGATGCAGGGTGCATGGAGTTGCTTTCTAGTTGTTCACTGAGGGTCAACTTGCTCACTCCATTCATCTTCTCTTTATCATGAGTCTGTCCATCCTCAGGATCAGAAGACGTGTTGGGAATTGGTAGGCCAGCATACTTGCCTCAGCAGTGCCCCTAAGAGGGGCAGCATCCCCTGCCCTGAATCCTTCCAGCACCGAGAAACTAGAGAGAAGCAGAACCTCAGACTGAAGTGCGCTGACTTGCAGTAACTTATGAACTTAGTAACCACAGGTCACAGGTGACTGATGGAGTTACAGTGAGCCGTGATGACAAGAATGACAACTGAGGTCCTTCCTGGGGGAAGTTGGCTTAGAAAAACACTAGTCCTCATCCCAAGAGACAGGTCCATGTGTAGAAACAGCCCTTTGTTTAAAATTTGGGAAAGGTGAAACAAACAGGCAAAAGTGTAAGATGCAATTTAGGGTCAGCACATGCCAGAGCCTGCTTCTCTACTTCCAGCTGACGTTCTTGGTATCTTATGCCTGTGTGTGATGCAGGGGAGGGGACTTTTGCTTTTTTTTCCCCCTTTTACTCTTTCTCTTCTTCCTAGGGACAGTCTAAGTGACCAGGAGCATGGCCCCGTTTCTTTTTTCCAGTTCCCCCCTGGCCCCACGCCCACACATACTCCTGTTCTCTTCCATGAGAATGCACTTATCCTTCACCAGCATGAGTACTAACCGTAGACACAGGAAGCTGTTAAAAAATCACCGAGACTCTTCCAAAGAGGTGAGGGGCCTAGTCCAACACAGAAAATATTATAGACAGGGCTGAGTATTTTCCTCCTCTTTTACCCCCAAAAAGAAAGATGATTGCATTATACGAAGTCTGTAAGGGATTTAAAAATTACCCACAATTCCCAACACCTTAGTACAATTGTTGGTGATTTCAGACATTCAGCTCTCATTGTTCACTCCATGCCTACATTTCTCATGGCCTTCACGTCACTACATACACTCCTGCCCCTGGGATGATAGTGGCTAACCTTTCTCAAGCATGTAGCGTAGGCCAGCCTGTATTTTGTATGTATTAATGCACCAATGGCACAACAACCCTAGAAAGTAGTTACTAGTGGAGTCTAAGGTGAGGAAACTGAGGCACAGGGGGCCATGGTGAAAGCAGGATTGGCCCCCAGGCTGCACACTGTGTGCCTTCAATGCTCTTCTGACTGCCCCATTCTGTGTGCACCCCTCCCCAGCAGGGCAGCACCCAGACAGATCCCTATGAGTGGTGGCACCTCATCTTCTTCAGTGGGTTTTGTTTCATGTTGATGGGTGATTTTACTTACATTTAATTTATGGTGTGTCGTATAATTTTGTGTGTTTGTGTGTGTGTGTGTGTGTGTGTGTGTGAGAGAGAGAGAGAGAGAGAGAGAGAGAGAGAGAGATGGAGTTTCACTCTTGTTGCCCAGGCTGGAGTGCAATGGCACAATCTCAGCTCACCACAACCTCCGCCTGCTGGGTTCAAGCGATTCTCCTGCCTTAGCCTCCCGAGTAGCTGGGATTACAGGCATGCGCTACCATGCCCAGCAAATTTTGTATTTTTAGTAGAGACGGGTTTCTCCATGTTGGTCAGACTGGTCTCAAACTCTCCAACCTCAGGTGATCCTCCCGCCTTGGCCTCCCAAAGTGCTGAGATTACAGGCCACCATGCCTAGCTGGTATGTTGTACAATTTTTCTAATAATTTATTGCGGGTCTGGGAATTTCATGTTATTGTACAAGAGTGCATTTTGTAGCAAAAAGATTAAAAATACACAGGGCTATTTGGTGGCCCAAAATTGCCTGTCTTTATTTGTGAAGCTTAACTCTCCTCCCTGTTTTGGACACCTGTGTAAATATGGTGAGCCTCATATAGGATCTCTTTCTTGAATCTTTATAGAGGAGAAATAGAGGAACAATTTATATTCTTTTAAATTATCATACAGTAAAATTGACCTGTTTTCCCTTTTTGTTACGTAAGTCTAGGAATTTTAACACTTATATAGTTTAATGTACCCATAATCGTAATCAGGATATGGAACAGTTCTATCACCCAACAAAATTCCCTCCTGCTACCCCTGTATACACCTTCTACCCCCGTGACTGACCCATGTAACCACTCATCTTTTTTCTCCCCCGATAGTTTTGTCTATCATACGTGTATAATTTTTTTTTTTCTTTTTGAGACAGAGTCTTGTTCTATCACCCAGGCTGGAGTGCAAGGGCGCAATCTCGGCTCACCGCCACCACCGCCTCCTGGGTTCAAGCGATTCTCCTGCCTTAGCCTCCTGAGTATCTGGGACTATAGGCGCCGGGCCAATTTTTTTTGTATTTGTTCTAGAGATGGGGTTTCACCATGTTGGTCA